CACCTCTCAATGAGGTGAGATCAGTATGCATTACCTCTAATTTGGCGTTTATCTCACTTCTTACTGAGGTTTGTGCAGCTTCTATTTTTGCATCCAACTTTTGTTTGATATCCTGTATATCTTTTGATAGTTCATCCTTGTGCTCTTTCAATTTCTGATCCATTTCTCGCTTTATTTCTTGAGTCATTGCCTCCAGCAACCCTTGGATGTAATTTTTGTCTTCCATTCCTGCTTTGCTCCCACTGGGGCCCTCCCCTGCGTGGCTGCTGGCTTTTGAGGTGAGCTTGCTGTCCTGGGTAGTGGTAAACCTTGTGATTTTTCTCTGTGATTTTCGCATGGGGGTTCAGGAGACTGCTCTTCAATCTTGTTTTGGTGTGTCTGTCTTTGCTTGGTTGCTGATTCTGTATTGGTAGAGAGAGTCTGTGCCTGATCTGGATTCTGTTGGGAGCCTATTTCCAGCTGCTATTCTGACTTACTTAGGATTCTCAGCTCTCTGCTGTAGCAATTCCCGCCTTTGGAAGGGTTGAGCAGCCTAGACTGCTTGTGTTTGCTCCTGCGGGTGCTCTTGGGAAGATCAGATGCTCTGGATGCACTCTCCCAAATACTGGAGTCTGCTATGGGCTCCTGATGTGTTTTTGTTTGTTTGTTTTGGGCTGGTTGTGGGCTTGAACTCTAGGTTTGGGTGCTGTCCCTCAGCTCTTCAGCTCAGGGCTGGCACCCTACCATTTGAGCCACAGCCCCACTTCTGACCCTTTTTGCTTTGTTCAGGCGCCGGTCCCCGGGCCTGGTTCCGGCCCCAGCCTGGAGCACGCTCGTTAGGCCTGTGCTAATGTGTATACCACCTAGGTTATGCAGCCTGGAGGACACAGTTCAAATTTCTTCTACTGTTGGTAGTCTTGACCCAGGGGCGCTGTTCCTGGCTTGGGCATTTAAGCTCCCTTCCAGGGGCGCTCTTGCTCTGGCCTGGCCAGCAGAGTGTGCTCCACCGGCTGGTGGAGCTCTCGAACAGTTCCCAGTTTTAGTGGGTCCTGTGGTCCGGGTGTTGGGGTAGGGAGTCTAGGTCAGGGTCTGGGGATTCCCTCCAGCTCTGGTCTCCCTTGATGGATTCACTGTCCCCTGTTGGGTACTCACCCTGTAGGTCGTCAGTTGTTGTTGCAGTCCGAGTTCAGTTGGGGTGGTTGCGGGCTGGGTTGGGCGGCCCCCCGCCGGGTAGTTGCGATAGCGATTGGGCGGGTGTTCTGCCCACAGGTCCCTTTGTTGCGCTGCTGGTGCCAGGCGGCTTTGGCGGGATGGAGCCTCTCCGCTCCGGTGGAGAGTGAGGGGTGGGGGTGGGATCCTCCTGGAGACTCCCGGCTGGTAGGTTTCTCTGTTCCTGGCGATCCGCTGTTCTTCTACCTCTATTTTAAAAAAAATCTATATATAGCTAAGAGCAGGGCCTGGGAAGGTGGCTTAGTGGTAGAATGCTTGCCTCGCATGCTTGAGGCCCTGGGTTTGATTTCTCAGCACCACATAAACAGAAAAAGCCGAAAGTGAACACTGTGGCTCAAGTGGTAGAGCACTAGTCTTGAGCTGAAGAGCTCAGAAGAGCCCAGAGTTCAGGCCCCATGACGGACCAAAAAAAAACCCTGATTTTATGTTTTGATTTATCTGATTTATGATGTGATTTTGATTTACATTTTTCTAATAGTGATGTAAAGTTCTAAATCAGCTCTTTCTTCAAGAGCCCTACTATAGGAATAACATTGCTTTTTGATCCCAGAGAAGAACCATGAAATAGATACATTTAAAAATTCTCAGTCATACTAACAATTCTAATCCTAACTATAGGGTGCTTCCATAGTCCATAATTATATCAATTCTTCAGGAGGAATGCTTCTTCTCAGGAGTAATATTGATAGACATAGAATTGTTCCACAATTACCAGAAGTCAACTCACTAAGTTTATAAGTGATTATCCCTGTAGGATATATTCCACAGACTGAGGAAAGTTGTCTTTCTCTTGAAAATAAATTATTATCAATAGTGTACAGTTTGTATTTGTATTCCATTTTGTTTTAAAACAGCTTTACTAAATAAAAAATATTGTTGGATGCCAGTGGCTCATTCCTGTAATCCTAGCTACTCAGGAGGCTGAGATCTGAGGATCACATTTGGAAGCCAGCACAGGCAGAAAAGTCTGTATGACTCTTTTCTCCAATTACCCATCAGAAAACCAGAAGTGGAGCTGTGGTTAAAAGTAGTAGAGTCCTACCCTTGAGTGAAAAAGCTCAGGGATAGCACCCAGGCCCTAAGTTCAAGCCCCATAACTCACAAAAAAAAAATTAAACAGGTATACTCACTGAAGCTACTCCCTCAAGGCTTATGTGGTGCTGAGGAATCGAACCCAGGGCCTCATGCATGCAGGGCAAAGTGCTCTACCACTGAGCCACCTTCCCAGCCCAACGCTTTATGTTTTAAGACCATAAAATCCAATCTAGATGACATTAAAGTCATTGAGGTATAGCTTATATACTGTAGCATTTCCCTTTTTAGTGTTCCAAATTCTTGGAACTAGAAGTGTTTTGGATTTTGAAATATTTGCATATTCATGATCAGATTTCCCAAAGATAGGACCAAGTCTAAACACCAAATTCACTTAGACACTTAGCCTGAGCCAGGCATCGTGAGCCAGGCTCATGCCTGTAGTACTTGCTACTCAGAAGGCTGAGATCTGAGGATCATGGTTCAAAGCCAGCCCAGGCAGGAAAGTCTGAGACTTGTATCTCCAGTTAAGCACCAAAAAAGCCTAGCAGAGTTATGGCTCAAATGGTATAGCTCTAGCCTTGAGCAAAAAGTCTCAGGGACAGCGCCCAATCCCTGAAGTCAAGTCCAAGGACTGTCACAAAAGTAATGAGTAAATAAACCTAGTCTGAAGATAATTTCATATGATCATAATGCACCATATCTGCACTTTGACTGTGATCCTTTACATGGTTCAGGCATGGAACTTGTCAGTAATAGTTTCATGTTAGTGTTCAAAAACTCAAAATTTGTAGCATTTTGTAATTGGGGATATCAGATTACAGATACTGAGCCTATGTTCTGTGAGCCCTTACAAGTACATAGATTACATAACCACCATTATATCAAGACTAGAAAAGATTCACTCTGGACTATGATTATTCTCCCCTTTGTAATCAGCCTACTCCGTACATCCCTCCCCCCAACTCCTGATACCCAACAATATGTTTTGTCGTTTTTATTTTTTGAAATGTCAAAAAGTTGGAGTCACAGTCTGTGGGTGTGAGTCTCCTTTTACTTAACAGCATGAAACTTGCCCTATTGTCACATATGTGGCTACTTTTATTGTAGGGTATGCTCCATTGTATGGATTTACCGTAGCATTTCCAGTCCCAGAAAAAGTATACCCAGTTTGGGATGATTATGAATAAAGCCACTTTAATGATTCATACACAGACTCTTTGAGTACTGTCTGCCTTTGTCCCACATATCCATGCATGGCTTAAGTGAATTCTTTGCTCAAGCTTTCTTCCCCCTAACTGTCTGCCATCTCTTCTTTGTTCTCCTTACTTGTCCTTCTCTCTTCATTTTCCCTGCTTAGTTTTTACCTTTTTCTCAAACTGTTTTCATTAGTCCTTCAGTGTTATTGGGAACTTATTTCACATTGTAGATACTTGTGCCTGTCATCTCAGATCAGTTCCTTATGGGATGAGGGCCAAGATTGAGTCTCATTTACCATTCAACTTTTGTTGACCTGGTACATGCTTTAGCCTTTTTGTTTTCTTTTTTGCAGTTGGGTTTTTCTTTTAGGGCCTCAGGCAGGTGTTCTACTACTTGATAAATATACACACACAGAGCTCTTTTTTGCTGCCTCAGACTGCAGTCCTATTAGCTATAAAACACCATGCTCAGCATGTTTTTGTTTTTTTATCTTTTTAATTTTTTTAAACTGTTACTATAAAGGTGATATACAGAGGGGTACAGTTATATAAATCAGGTAAAGAGTACTTTTATTTATTTATTTATTGACCATATAACCCCTTCTTTGCTCTCTCAGCCTTTTCTTCCCTTTGGTTTATCATGAGGCTTGAACTCAGGGCCTGGCCACTGTCTCTGAGCTTTTTCACTAAGGCTAGCACTCTACCTTTTTTTTTTTTCCTTTTTTATCGGTCGTGGGGCTTGAACTCTGTGCTTGGGCGCTTTCCTTGCGCTCTTCAGCTCAAGGCAAGTGCTCTACCACTTGAGCCACAGCGCCACTTCCGATTTTCTAGTGGTTTATTGGAGATAAGAGTCTCAGAGACTTTCTTGCCCGGGCTAGCTTTGAACCACGATCCTCAGATCTCAGCCTCCTGAGTATCTAGGATTACAGGCGTGAGCCATCAGCAACCAGCCACTCTACCATTTTTGAGCCACAGCTCCACTTCCAGTTTTCTGGTGGTTAATTGGAAATAAGAATCTCATGGAGCTGGGCGCTGGTGGCTCAAGCCTGTAATCCTAGCTACTCAGGAGGCTGAGATCTGAGGATCATGGTTCAAAGCCAGCCTGGGCAGGAAAAGTCCATGAGACTCTTATCTTCAATAAAACACTAGAAAGCTGGAAGTGGCGCTGTGGCTCAAGCGGTAAATTACGCGCTCACCTTGAGCTGAAGAGCACAGGGACAGCGCCCAAGCCCAGAGTTCAAGCCCCATGACCGATCAAAAAAAAAAAAAACCTCATGGACTTTCCTGACCAGGCTGTTGAATGGTGAGTCTTAGATCTCAGCCTCCTGAATAGCTAGGATTACAGGCATGAGCTACCAGTGCCCAGCTGCTTTCCTCTTTTAATAGCTCAGTTATATCTGTGAGTGCAGGGCTAGGGTATAACTTTAGTTATGAGTATACTTCTGATGAGATGAAGGGCTAGGGTATAACTTTAGTTATGAGTATAGCTCTGACGAGATTGGGAATGTGTATATTGCTTTGTACAAATTCCCTCACTATCTGTGATATTTCTTGTCTTAGATTGTCCCAGGACACCTAACACTAGGATATCCCAGCAGACTTCGTGTGTTGCCTTGGATTCTCCAGGAAGGACTAAAAGAAAAGCAGGTTTCCTTGAGTCTACCTCACCTTATAAGAAGTCTCAGCTGGATGGAGTCAAGGCTTCATCTCCAGTGCTTAAAGTCCCAGGAAAAACTGGAGAGGTTCCATACTTTTGTGCTGAGGATAACAAAAAGTCTTCATCTGAATGTCAAATGACCCTAAGAACCCGAGTCCCCACTCTGAAAATCATGGAGACTGAGGAAAGCTCATTGAGCCCTGTCAGAGGAGATAAGAGATCTTCAATGGTGCCTTCTGTGATTCTGAAACCAGAAAAGATCGAAAAGAGGTGACTAGACACTTGACCCTGTCCACAGAGCAATTTGAGATCTTTCAGAACAAACCTGACTCACAGAATCCCTCAGGGGCTTTTCCAAATGCAGATTTCTGAGCCGTTTCTATAGCTAATGGATGCAGCTCAAGGCATTGGCACTAGGAATCTTATTTTGACATGTTCTGGATAATTCTTACACACTTAGCTATCATTTGAGGACTGTTGCTATAGAATGTTTTTTCCTAAACCTGCATTGCTTGTGGTTCAGTATTTCATTAGTTTCTGCAGCTAGAAAAGATTTTGAGAGCCGGGCGCTGGTGGCTCACACCTGTAATCCTAGCTACTCAGGAGGCTGAGATCTGAGGATCGAGGTTCAAAGCCAGCCCAGGCAGGAGAGACAGTGAGACTCCTATCTCCAATAAACCACCAGAAAACCGGAAGTGGCGCTGTAGCTCAAGTGGTAGAGCGCTTGCCTTGAGCTGAAGAGCTGAGGGACAGCGCCCAGGCCCAGAGTTCAAGCCCCACGACCGACAAAAAAAAAAAAGAAATTAAAAACATAACAAGGTAGAAATTACACACTTCAGCATTTGCTAAATAGAAACTTCTGAGTATGTATCTGCATTTCTGTTAACCTTGAGTCTGCTCTGGTAGAAAGTGAATTTATAGATAAATCAGAAATTCATATAAGGAACTCTCTGAAACTAGTATATTCTGGTTTATAGTTATGAGTTTAATTTAAATGATGAGTTGTAGGCAAACTTTGATCTTTGGGTCTGAGTCAAGCTGCTCTTACAATTTTGTATCAAAATAGCTTAACTCTTTCCAAGGTAGGTGTAAAAAGAGTAAGAGCTATTGGGGCCATAGTAATGTCTTCCAGTACCTGCTGTAGATCTTTTTATAACCTTACTGGGGTATCTTGCAGGGAGGCAAAAGAGCCAGAAGCTGGCAGTGAAGCTACCATCACTTCTCATCGTATCCTCAGGAAGAGTTCTCTCTTAACCTTGAGCCGGATCAGGCAGCACCTTTGGTAAGACTGCCCTTCGACAGGCAAAACAACTTTGCTATCATCCATGGTAACTATAGTTAAGACTGTCCCCTGGCAGGCAGAATAGCCTTGCTGTCATCTTTATTTAGTAACTACAGTCTATCTTTTAATGACTCTTCTGTTGTTTGATTTTTGCTAATCCATTGAAACTTCAGCTTTTACCAGGCATGTCTGGAATTGCTGTTTCATTTGGATGTTATATTTTGAAATGTACAACAAGTGTTTTCTTAGCTTTATGTAGCTCCCCTGTCCCCATAGCCATTATTCCCAAGATTGGTGTGGTAGGATGCTTAAAAGAATTAATTTTTATTTTCATAAACCTAGATTTAAGATTTTTGGCTTTTGGATTTTGTGAGCGTAGGGAAGACACTTAACCTTTCTAAGTCTTTATTTCTTCTGTATAAAATAGGAATAATAATATATGTGTCTGTCACAAGCCTGTTGAGTTTAATGAGGTAATAATACCCTTAATAGACTGTCTCAGAAACAAGTGTCCAAGAAGTAAAACAAATGCTACAGTCCACACTGACCTTTATAGAGGCCTTATTTAGGTTTGAAACACAAATGCCAAAACATAATATGTCCCCACTATTCAGGCTTCTAGAAGATAAGAAAGGTGACCAAGAGGAGGAAGAGTTCATGCCAAAAGCAGAGGTCTCAGACTCGAGCAGTGAGGAGGAAGACACTTCCACCCCATCCCTTCCAAGGCGGAATCCCCAACGCCAGTCCAGGATTTTGCAGCCCTCCTTAAGTCCATCCATGCAGATGCCCTCCAAAACACCAAAAAAACCTGTATGTTTCCTTTACTTTTGTTTTCCAATAAAGTGTCCCTCTTCTAAAGGATAGGAATGCTATTATCAAAAAGCAAACAAAAAGCTGAATTCTGAGCGTAGTTTTATTATGGTCAAAACCATTCCTCCTGGAATGTTCATATAACAGACCTAAGTGAACTTGAAGACTAAAAACTCAGGCCTGGGTGTTTTGTTTTGGTGGAGATCATGTCTTTGATATATCCCAAGAACTTGAGAGCTTTCTACTTCAATATTAAGTATTAGAATCCTGAGATTCCAGACATGTGCCACCACACTAGGCTCAAGGATGATGTTTTTAGTACAGGCTCCTTTGAAGGTATAGTCACATGGCCAAGAGCCAGGCTTCCTGAGGGAAATGTAAAATTGGTTCCTGGTTCATCCCATTGGATGAATGAGAAACGCGGGGTACATTGGTACCTACTTGTGTGTGAGTAGATGGAAGGAAGAGAGAAATAGGTGTTTTTTTTTGTTTTTTGTTTTTTTTTTGTTTTTTGTTGTTGGTTGTGGGGCTTGAACTCGGCCTGGGTGCTATCCCTCAGCTCTTCAGCTCAAGGCAAGTGCTCTACCACTTGAGCCACAGTGCCACTTCTGGTTTTCTGAGTGGTTTGTTGGAGATAAGAGTCTCACGGACTTTCCTGCCTGGGCTAGCTTTGAACGCAGCCTCCTGAGTAGCTAGGATTATAGGCGTGAGCCTCTGAGGCCCAGCTAATAGGTGTATATTTTACCTCCTGTGGAAATATAGCAAGACATTTAAAAAAAAAAAATTAAGGAAGCAGGGTGCCTGTGGCTAATACCTGTAATCCTAGCTACTCAGGAGGCTGAGATCTGAGAATCATGGTTCAAAGCCAGCCCGAGCAGGAAAGTCCATGAGACTCTGGTAAACTTCTCAGAAAAAGCTGAAAGTAGCTCTCTGGCTCAAGTGGTAGAGTGTTAGCCTTGAAGAGGCTCAGGGACAATACCCAAGCCCTGAGTTCAAGCCCTAGGACTGGCTCAAAATAAAAATTGTGTGTGTGTGTGAAAATCTTCATGTGAGCGTTTGAAACATTTAGGACATAGTTTGAAAATGAAACTAAGTTCTAAATAAGAAAATACCAAGAACCCAGGGTTCTTGATTGTATTATTCCTTTTCTGTTTTCTTCAAATTAATTGATATAAAGCCTTCTAATCATCTAGAGTGTTTTCTGCTTGAGGAAAGCTTGAGAAATAGCTATCACTGGTCATTATAAAGAAAATAAAACAGGAATAAACTCACTCTAGCCAGTAGCAAGGAAGAAACCTGAGCAGTGACTAGGGGTTTGGAGTGGAAGTATTTGGCCAGAGCCAGGCTCTGGTGGCTCATGCCTATAATCTCAGCTACTCAGGAGGCTGAGATCTGAGGATCATGGTTCAAAGCCAGCCCGGGCACGAAAGTCCATGAGACTCTTACCTCCAATAAGCCACCGGAAAACTGAAAATGACGCAATGGCTCAAGTGGTAGAGCACTCACTTTGAACTGAAGAGCTGGGAGACAGTGCCCAGGCCAGAGTTCAAGCCCCACAACCAACAACAACAACAACAAAAAAAAGAATTTGGCCAGATTTCTCCATATATTGTGACATAAATTGTGAGTGTCAGGCAAAGCTTGACCATATTTTCAAATAAAGTTACTGAAAGGTTTTAGGAATTTACACCTCTTTTTGTATGCTGTCTTTGGGTATGTGTGTGTGTATAGGTCCTAGGACTTGAACTCAGGGCCTGGATGCTGTGTGTGTGTGTGTGTGTGTGTGTGTGTGTGTGTGTCCTGGGACTTGAACTCAGGGCCTGGATGCTGTGTGTGTGTGTGTGTGTGTGTGTGTGTGTGTGTGTGTGCGCTGTGTATATAGGTCCTGGGACTTGAACTCAGGGCCTGGATGCTGTCCCTGTGCTTTTTTTGCTCAAGGCTAGCACTTTACCGTGTGTGTGTGTGTCTGTGTGTGTGTGTGTGTCTGTGTGTGTGTGTGTGTCTGTGTGTGTGTGTGTGTGTCCTGGGACTTGAACTTAGGGCCTGGATGCTGTCCCTGTGCTCAAGGCTAGCACTTTACCATGGAGCTCCAGTTCTACTTTCAGCCTTTTTGGTGGTCTCATTTTGAACAGTGACCTCCTGAGTAGCTAGGATCACAAGTGTGAGCCACTAGCACCCAGTCAGGTAATACATTACTTGTGGATAGTACAAGTGCTAGAGATTAGCTCAGTGGTAGAGTGCTTGCTTGATATGAGAGAGGTCCTAGGTTCATCCCCAAGCACCACCATAATATTTAATCCATATTTGTCATTCTTTCCTCACATTGTCCCCAAATCCTATACTCTGTGTAAGTTAGAAAAGAGAAATGTATGTGGACCATGAACAAAAATATATGTGTGATATGAGGTAGAAAGGGGAGACACATGATACTTCATATAGATGGGAAATAAGATATTTATTGCCTCTTTTGCCTTCAGTCGTGTTCTGCTTTGTTTTTCCTTCTGAGTCATGTTCTCTTTGAATACAGGTGAAGCCTAGAACACCACGTCATGCCACTCCCCAGATCCGCAGTCGGAACCTGGCTGCCCAGGAGCCAGCCAGTGTGCTGGAGGAGGCCCGGCTGAGGTAGTGCTGCCCTTCAACCTCATTCAGACAGGCACGAGTGATGGACACTCCAATTTCTTTATTAAGATGGTAGAGGAGGGCATGTGTAGTCACTGGTGTTCATGATAAAGGAAAAAAGTGTTTAGAAAGAATCCTGTAGGGCTGGGAAGGTGGCTCAGTGGTAGAGTGCTTGCCTTGCATGCCTGAGGCCCTGGGTTCGATTCCTCAGCACCACATAAGCAAAAAGAAAAAAGCCGGAAGTAGTGCTGTGGCTCAAGTGGTAGAGCGCTAGCCTTGAGCTAAAGAGCTGAGGGACAGCGCCCAGGCCCAGAATTTAGGCCCCAGGACTGGACCCCCCCCCCCCCCAAAAAAAAAGAATTCTGTAAGCCAAGGTCTGCCCGAATTAACATAGACAGCCACTGTCTTCTAAGGCATGGAAGGGGATTAATTAGGACAGTGCCTATGGGCTATGATCCCCTTTAGACTACATGGGAACTTTTCCAAAATACAAAGGCTTAGATCCTGTCAGAAATTAAGTGAACTGAAAATTTGTAGGGTGTAATCCACTTGAATAACTTGTCTAGAGAAAGGGAGGCTAAGGATTGAAACTAACTAGAGTTTTAAGAATAAAGGCATTTGTGCTAGAATCATGTAGAAACACACAACTTTTCCATTTTATTTGTTTTGGTGGTGTGTGAGATTGAACTTGGCCTTTTGCTTGCTAGGAAGGTGCTCTACCACTATCTATACCCCTAGCCTTTTTGCATTTATACCTGGGCCCTCCTGGACACTGATTCTTCTATAGCTGAAATGGCAGGCACATGCCACCAGGCCCAGCTGTTGGTTAAAATGGGGTCTTCTTACTTTTTTTGGTAAGGGACAGCCTGCAATCATGATTTTCCCGATCTTGACCTGAGTATCAAGTATTATTTATGGGAGCCATTGTGCCCAGGCTCTTGTTTTATTTTTTAGTAGATTGTATAGAGCTTCTAAAGTCTTTTCTTCCTATTGATTACCAACTGTAGGCTTCATGTTTCTGCTGTGCCTGAGTCTCTTCCCTGCAGGGAACAGGAATTTCAAGATATTTATAACTTCGTGGAGAGCAAACTCCTTGACCGTACTGGAGGGTGAGTCATGCTGGGGCAGGAGGGTAGTTTGGGGAAGAGTCCCCTTCTTACTCAGTGGAAGGTAGACAAAACCAGTGCTGAAGCCTGCAGCTTCTAAGAGAGCTTTTGCTGCCAAAGTAATTTCACAGGAGTAGGAATTCTGGCTTTAAGAAAAAGTGTAATTTTTAGGGGTATTCAGTTTGTATGCAGACTTGCTTGTAGGTACTATTTTGACCAGCTTCTAAAGATCATCTTTACTATCCCTACCTCCACTTGTTATGGGTTTCTGTCTTTCCTGGTGTGGTGTGGCTGGCATGGACTTAGCCCACAGGTCTTCTATCCTTGCTCTAGGTGCATGTACATCTCTGGGGTTCCAGGGACAGGGAAAACTGCCACTGTACATGAAGTGATTCGTTGTCTGAAGCAGGCAGCCCAAACAGATGATGTTCCTTCCTTTCAATATGTTGAGGTTAATGGCATGAAGCTGACAGAGCCCCACCAAGTCTATGTGCAAATCTTGCAGGTATGCAAGTATGGGTTTTGGGGAAATGCATGTTCTTTAGTTTTGTTTTGTTTTGTTTTTTGGTTGGTAGTGGGGCTTGAACTCAGGGCCTAGGTTCGATCCCTGAGCTTTTTCACTCAAGGCTAACACTCTGCCACTTTGTGCCACAGCACCATTTCCAGTTTTCTGGTGGTTAATCAGAGATAAGAGTTTCATGGACTTTCCTGCCTGTGCTGGCTGGTTTTGAGATACAATCCTCTCAGGTCTCAGCCTTGTGAGTAGCTAGGATTATAGGTGTGAAGCACCAGCACCTGCCTTTAAAAAAAATCTTACATGAGTTACACAGAGGGGAATTTCATTGTTACATTTTCACACATTTATAACATACTCTAATCAGTCTTTCTCCATCTATCATTCTCTCTTCCCTCCTTGCCAAAAGAATTTGAACAGGTTTCCTTATTCTATTTTCATAGTCACCAACAATGTATTTTGGCCATATTTGTCCTCTTTCAAAATATATTTCAAACCGGGCATTGGTGGCTCACGCCTATATACTTGAGCACTATCCTTGAGCCAAAAGCTTATGGACAGTGCCCAGGTCCTGAGTTCAAGGGGAAAAAATGTGTTTCAAAATTATTTACTTTGTTTTTCTTTTAGTCCTTCCTCCTTCTCTGTGTCTTCTAAGCAGTCTCTCAGATAGATTTGTACTTTGTGTTTTTCCACATATATAATCATATAAATGAATATGTATAAATATGGACATGTCCCTAAATGTGTGTCTTAGATCTAGCTTCCATGTATGAGTGAAAACATGGTATTTTTGATATTTGAACTTGTCATACCTCACTCTTACAATTGCATCTATTTTCCTGCCAATAATATGATCTTGTTTTTCTTTAGGAAACTACATTTTCTTGGAGGCACATGCAAAGGAAAGCTTTAATTTGTTATTTTACACATTTATAGGATACCAGGATTGTCTTTATGCAATGTGGCAAGAAAGGCAGGAAGCCAGATAGAAACTGACTGTAAACCAGCACTTGCTAACATGGCAATGACTGCTAGTTCAGGAACCCCTATGAAATAACCTCATGAAAGTAACCCCTATGAAATAAGGGTTAAAAGACACCCTGTGTATCAAACTTTTTTTTTTTTTTTTTTTTTTTGGGTCCAGTCGTGGGGCCTGAACTCTGGGCCTGGGCACTGTCCTTCAGCTCTTCAGCTCAAGGCTAGCACTCTACCACTTGAGCCACAGCGCCATTTCCGGCTTTTTTCTTTTTGCTTATGTGGTGCTGAGGAATCGAACCCAGGGCCTTGAGCATGCAAGGCAAGCGCTCTACCACTGAACCACCTTCCCAGCCCCCAAACATTTTTTTTTTTTGGTCGGTCGTGGGACTTGAACTCTGGGCTTAGGCACTGTCCCTGCACTCTTGAGCTCAAGGTGAGAGCTCTACTGCTTGAGTCACAGTGCCACTTCCAGTTTTCTAGTGGTTTTTATTGGAGATAAGAGTCTCACAGATTCCTGCCCGGGCTGGCTTTGAACCACGATCCTCAGATCTCAGCCTCCTGAGTAGCTAGGATTACAGGCATGAGCCACTGGCACCTGGCTTTTTTTTTTTTCTCTTGGCAGTACTAGGTTTGAACTCGGAGCCTTATACTTGCTAGGCAGGCCCTGTACCACTTGAGCTGCACCCCAGCCCTTCTTTGGTGCCTTCTCCTTTCCACACAACTTGAGGTTAAGGTTAAGACTAGAGTGAAGGCATATAGGACATGGAACTCCTCCGAGTAAATAGCTTCTTCATTTTATAGATCGTACCTTAAGCCCAGAGGAGTAAAATCTTTACCATTTAAAACTGCTTCTCTCCCAATACAGAAGCTGACAGGCCAGAAGGTAACAGCTAACCATGCTGCAGAACTGCTGGCAAAGCGATTCTGTACCCGAGGATCCTCCCGGGAAACCACCGTCCTGCTTGTAGATGAGGTGAGGTTCCCCAGGGAGGCCTGGAGAAAGACTGACCAGTACTCCACTTTGCTATCCTAGGAGAAAGTAGTGGGTGGGAGGAAATGCTGCCTCCCCATTCATCAACTTGGTTGATTGGTGGGGTGACCTGGGCAGCTTGTGCAACTTTAAAGCAGCAGTGTTCTGCTGCTGATCTTACTGATCTTACATCTTACTGATCTTACATCTCTTCTCATCTGTGGCAGCTTGACCTTCTGTGGACTCACAAACAAGATGTACTGTACAATCTTTTTGACTGGCCCACTCACAAGGAGGCTCGGCTGGTGGTTCTGACCATTGCTAACACCATGGATCTGCCAGAAAGGATCCTGATGAACCGAGTGTCCAGCCGATTGGTAGGTTCTAGGCAGTAAGTTGTCCATAAGGTAGGCCAGGGCGTCCTGCAAATACAGAAATGTAGAAAAGCAAGAACTAGTTTCTGCCATGCTAATAATTTCTAAGCACCTATCACCTTTTACAAGTAGAGCAGTGAGCCAGGCAGATTTGGTCTGCTCTCATAGGCTTGTAATTTGGCAGGAAGATAGGGCTATACATAAAGTCCTTCTACACATGTTAATTAGAGCACTCTGCTTCTGTTAACTTCCAGTTAATTCTGATAAAAGGGGCTTTTTTGGGGGGAGGGGGTGTCGGTCATGGGGCTTGGAAATGAGTCACACAGATTTTCCTGCCCGAGTTGGCTTTGAACCACAATCCTCAGATATCAGCCTCCTGAGTGGCTAAAAGGTGCTTAAGCAAATAAAAAAGCTCTATTTACCACTGACCATTGTCAGTGACTGCGAGCATGTAGCTGTACTGTAAATTTTAAGCAATATGTATGTTGTTACATGGAATTTGGGAATCAGGTGTGGGGAAGTATGTGTGAAATTCCACCTAGACAAATCAATAGGTATTCAGTGAAGTCCTTCCTTTGTTCTTGGCTCCCCAGGGTCTTACTAGGATGTCCTTCCAACCTTATACGCACAACCAGCTGAAGCAAATCCTTGCGTCCCGGCTCAAGCATATAAAGGCCTTTGAGGATGATGCCATGCAGCTGGTAGCCAGGAAGGTAGGTAATCTTCAGGTTTCCCTAGTTGTACCCATAACCAGTCAGGAAGCCTTGTTATAAGTATGTTCTCCAGGTTCATCAGCTGCACTGGACATTGATGTGAACTAAGCAACTCAAGGGCAGCGATGAGAGGGAGGGAATGAAAGAGAAAGAGGGAACAGCTTACACTAAGCAAAAGGAAAGAAATGGACATATCACCAGATTTGGAAGAAATAGTTGTCAAAGTTTGTAGAGTTTACAAGCCTTTTTGTTGGTGGTGGTGGTCATGGGGCTTGAACTCAGTGTCTGGGCACTGTCTCTGAGCTTTTCTGTTCAAGGCTAGCATTTTACCTCTTTGAGCCACAGCACCACTTCCAGAATTTACAAGCTTTATGAACCATGATAATGACAGTTCGCCTTGTGAAGGTTAAAATGTGTTGGTGACTTTAGCTAAGTATCACTATCACACAATACTGTGAAATTTATGTAATCACTTAATCTCAATAAAGAAATTTTTTAAAAAAGCATATACAAAAAAAAATGCTCTCCAAGTGCCACTGGAGTCTCAAATGATAAATATAAAAATAAATTGTCTTAGCAAGGCAAAATTTACTTTTGCAGAAGGGTGCGCCACCAGCCAGAAATCTAGCAAACAAGCACACAGAATAGATAAGCTGCCCCCCTCTGCTCAGATTGGTTGAGTTCAGGTTCATAAGGTGACCATTAAGACTTTGAAATAAGATAATCTCAAAACATAGCCATACTCTGAGGTGTGTCTTCTGATTCTTTTTTTTTTTTTTTTGGGTCCGGTCGTGGGGCCTGAACTCTGGGCCTGAGCGCTGTCCCTCAGCTCTTCAGTTCAAGGCTAGTGCTCTACCACTTGAGCCACAGCGCCACTTCCGGCTTTTTTCTTTTTGCTTATGTGGTGCTGGGAATCGAACCCAGGGCCTCAGGCATGCAAGGCAAGCGCTCTACCACTGAGCCACCTTCCCAGCCCAAGGTGTGTCTTCTGAGGTATGTCTTAATTCCATCTTGGAAAAACCAGTTTAAGACAAAACCTCCAATAAACCACCAGAAAACCAGAAGTGGCGCTGTGGCTCAAGTGGTAGAGCACTAGCCTTGAGCTGAAGAGCTGAGGGACAGTGCCCAGGCCCAGAGTTCAAGCCCCAGGACTGACCAAAAAAAAAAAATTTCCTTACCCCAAATTAGTTCCTCGTCTTAAACACGAGCCTAGCCACTGGGCTAAAGCAGGAACTTTTAAGCAACATACTTTGATAGAAAAGACAGTTTTTTCTCACAGCCTTTTTCTGGTCACCTGTTAGGCTTGAGATCCTGGCTGCTCTGGGAATGGAGAGAACTTTTAAGAAGTCTTGGAAGAATAAATACCTTCTTATTGTGTGATTACTTAGAAGACCACACATATTGTGAGCTTGTGTATAAAATAATATTAATTGATACAGGAGCAAACTGTCTAGTTGAGTGTATAGCATAGTCAAGGAGACAGATTTGATTTGAATTCTATTCGTAACACTTAGATATGTGGATAGTTATAGGAAAGTTATGTATCTTGAGCTTAAGTTTTCATCTCTGAAAAATAGTAGTATTAATAATTACCTCATGGTTAGTTCTTGTGAAAATCAGATGGGATCATGTCCATAATGTGCCTGAGGAGAAACACTCCAGGGTATGTGTAGATTTTGATACCTTCATCTCCAGGCTCAAAAGTGCCAGCTAAGTATTCATTACAGACTATTCTGAGGCTGCTCAGGAATAAAGTTTCTACCAAGTATTTTAGCACTTAGAAGACTTACACATTTTTTTTCTAGTTTCCTCTTACTTGAAACCATCTAAATCCTATGTGCTCCAGGCTGAGATCTGAGATTAAAGTTTGAAGCAGCCCACGCAGGAAAGTCTAAGGAACTCTTATCTCCAATTACCTCCAGAAAATTGCTGTGGCCCAAAGTGGCATATAGCACTAGCCTTGAGTAAAAAAGCTCAGGGATAACTCCTAGGCCCTGAGTTCCTAGGCCCATGACCAACCCAAAAAATAAAGAAAAATAAAAAAAGATAATGCATGACAATGAAAATGAAAAATTCTATGCAAAGGAGGATTAGAGGTAACTTCCAGGATCTCCCTCTGTAAAAGCAAAGTGTGGAGACAGGTACCACCCGTGGACCCAGGATTACAGGTTTGAGCCACTGGCATGTCTTTTTTTTTTTTTTCCTTGGTCAGTCATGGGGCCTGAACTCTGGGCTTGGGCACTGTTCCTTAGCTCTTTAACTCAAGGCTAGCAGTCTACTACTTGAACCACACACCATTTTGGCTTTTTCTGCTTATGTGGTGCTGAGGAATTGAACCCAGGGCCTCATGCATGTGAGACAAGCACTCTACCACTGAGCCACCTGTCCAGCCCTTAAGAGTTCTTTTGCTTCTCTGTCTCTTTTTTTTTTTTAGATTTTATTTTGGGCCAGCCTATTTATTTGAGGTAGTCTTTTACCATTTTCCTCCAAGATTCTTTGTGTTTGCTTTTGATTTCTTATCTTTTTGGGGGGGGAGGAGGGGAGTCTGGTCGTGAGGCCTGAACTCTGGGCCTGGGCGCTGTCCCTCAGCTCTTCAGCTCAAGGCTAGCGCTCTACCACTTAAGCCACAGTGTCACTTCCGGGTTTTTTTTCTTTTTGCTTATGTGGTGCTGAGGAATTGAACCCAGGGCCTCAGGCATGCAAGGCAAACGCTCTACCACTGAGCCACCTTCCCAGCCCCTTGCTTTTGATTTCTATCTTACATTATGGGAAACTTTCCTTGGATGTCCTCCTAGCTATCTGTAAAAGTGGAGGTTAAGAATCTGATTGGAGCTGACCTGCAGTCCTGAAGATCTGGGAGACTGGGCAGGAGGATCACTTGAGCACAGAGAGCCCTTGTGCTTCCAGATGGTTCAGTCATGATATGTCAAGAATCTCTTTTCAGACTTAATATCCTGAGTAATAAATAAATCTGAGAATTTCTGCCTTTTCCATTGTGGAGTTACCTGTAAAAGCAAGACAAGGTTTGGATTCAGAGTGGAATCCTGCAATGATATAGTAATTTCTCCTTAGGCTTCCACAAGGTTCCCTTGCTTATTCTCAGCACAGCCTTCCTTTTTAGCTGAACACAGGATCTATTGGTTCTCCCCTGGACTGAGATGGCAAGGATACCCCAGGAATAAAGCATTCCAATCTGTTGTAGGTGGCAGCACTCTCGGGAGATGCACGGCGCTGCCTAGACATCTGCCGTCGTGCTACAGAGATCTGCGAGCTCGACCACCAGAAGAATGACTCTCCAGGCCTGGTTACCGTGGCCCACTTAATGAAGGCTGTGGATGAGATGTTTTCCTCATCATTTATCACCGCAATCAAGTAAGATACTCTGCTCCCAGCACTTTCTTGGGAGACTTTGGCAAAATACTTCCCTTTCTGATTATTAACAATTTTATTGTTAATAATACTATTAGCAATTTCAGCTTGCATTTACTGGATGCAGTTACTTTTCTTTGGGGCAAATATCTTTGGGGAGATAGTGACGCACACTTGGGATAACAAGCAAATACTGCCACTGACAGAAGGATATACTAGAGGAGTTGAGTGAGTAAAAATGCTACTCATACAGAAAGGACATACTGCTTCTGCTTCTATCACTGGATGTTACTCTTTTTACAAAATCAAGGGCATGGATTTTTTTTTTTTTGTCAAGTCATGGGGTTTGAACTCTGGGCCTGGTTCCTCAGCTCTTCAGCTCAAGGCCAGTACTCTACCACTTGAGTGACAGTGCTACTTCTGATTTTCTGGTGGTTTACTGGAGATAAAGAGTCTCATAACTTTCTTACCTGGGCTGTCTTTGAACCGTTATGCTCAGATCTTAGCTTCCTGAGTAGCTAGGATTACAGGCGCCCTGCTGTGTGATATTTTTGAGGTGCTCGTATACTCCCATATGTAAATAGTTGTTTTCCCTTGATTCTAAAGTGGCATTTTTCTTTATCAGCTTGATAAGTGAAGGGCAAGGGAAGAATCCTGTCAAATAATATAGAAAGTGTTTCCTAGTGCTTTCACTCCTCTAAAGACACAGAATGTTTTTTTCTTTTCTTTGGGCTAGTAGTGCAACTTCTACATGAATTTGTATCTTCTTTTTTCCTTTTAAGAAATGCCTCTGTCCTGGAACAAGGCTTCCTGAGAGCCATCCTTGCAGAGTTCCGGCAATCAGGACTAGAAGAAGCAACATTTCAACAGGTAATCCTAGATAATGACCTTGAGCTTTTAAAATAGAATCAATAGAAATTTCAATCAGTGTATAATCATTTGTCTTTATTTTGTGCCATCCTGAATATGCTAAAAGAAAATATCAGGCCAACATCTTTTTATATGATTTTTAAATTTTTTTGTTTCTGTTTAGCTTACATAGAGTAATTATAGATAGATAGATTGATTGACTGGTTAGTGGTCTACAGTGTGATATATCTCTTTTTTTTTTTTTTTTTTGGTCAGTTGTGGTGCTTGAACTCTGGGCCAGGGCTCTGTCCCTCAGCTCTTCAGCTCAAGGCGAGTAGTACTCTACCACTTGAGCCAAAGCACCACTTCTGGTTTTCCGGGTGGTTTATTGGTGATAAGAGTCTCACGGACTTTCCTGCCGGGGCTGGCTTTGAACCATGATCCTCAGATATCAGTCTCCTGAGTAGCAAGGATTACAGGCATGAGCCACTAATGCCCAGCTACTTTGTGACATTTCAATACATGTGTATAATTTATATTGAAGAAATTAGGGTAATTAGCATTTCTGTTTCCTCTTACATTTGGAGCCCTTGAGGTACTTTCTTCTGTGTGTGGGGGTGTGGGGGGGGATATAGGGGACTGAGTCAGGGCCTTGGAGATGCTAGGCATGTGTTGTTACTGAGCTATACTTTTACCCTTCAGGTTTTTTTTGTTTCTAAAATATGGTCTTGCTGTGTGGCTCAGGTTGGCCTTGAACTCTTATTGATCTTCCTGCTTTTGCCTCCTGAGTGTTCAGTTTATAAATGTTCACCACCATACCTAGTATTATCCTTGCTCTTGTCAATGCTCCTAGTGTAGGTAGGCATGGTTAGACTCTTAAATATTTAGAATAGAGAGGCCAGAAGTGTTACAAGTGTATCTGACCCACGTGGGAGTTTCAGGGTAGGAATTTATGTTTGAAGCTTTTCTCCTGCCTCCCTTTATCCCTTCAGTCAGTTTTCACTGTGGGTCTTGTGCTTGCCAGGTGTTGTACCTTGGCATCTGCCTACTGTATCCAATAAAGGAAAAGTACCTGGTAGCACAGTTTGACAAATTCTGTGTTTCAGTCATGAAACTTTTAGCCATTGGAGATCAGAAGTATTTCCGGGATGGTTAATTTATAAAATATCTGTTAACTTAGAAGGGATGTGTAGCACATTTTATAAGTAAAAGATTCAGACCTGCTGTGTTCTGTCTCCAGGGCTTATATCCTATTCTCTTGCATTTGTGTAGCATTGGGACATGCACTGATACCTTCTAGAGTACTGGGGATTCTGGGCTCCAAGTGTCCACTTTTTACAAAAGGCGAAATGATCAGATACAGTCTCAGGATTACCTTTCCTCTTCTGCTTTTCTTTTTCTATTTAGATATACACTCAGCATGTGGCCCTGTGTAGAATGGAGGGACTGCCATACCCCACCATGTCAGAGACCATGGCTGTATGTTCACGCCTGGGTTCCTGCCGCCTTCTTCTGGTGGAGTCCAGCAGGAACGACCTCCTCCTTCGTGTGCGGCTCAACGTCAGTCAGGATGATGTGCTGTATGCACTGAAAGAAGAATAAAGGCTTCAAAAGAGGCTGCTATTTTTTAATGGACCTCATTTCCCTTTACTCCTTTTTTGTAAAGACATAATCCTGCCTCTACCTCTCAAGTGCTGGGGTTAGAGGTGTGCATGCATCACCACTCCCAGATTCTGATTTTCCTTTTTGCACATGGAATTGTTGTAGCCAAATACAAATATTCATAATATAAACTCAAACTGTTATATATTAGGTCCTCCCTCTGACTGTTATTACTGTTACTAGCTTTGCCATTTATCTAGTGCTAACTACTGTGTATGGATACAGTATGCTTGTATCGGTATAATTGGGTATAAATTGGCCATACTCATTCCCTCTAGGAAGGATCCAGCTGTTTTGGCTCAGAAAAGGAGGCCTCTTCATTGCATGACATTACTTATTTTACAATATAAAACAAAATTGAGTTTATTAAAACCTGCTGAAAATACTATTTCTAGCAACAGATAGCTAAAAACAACAACAAAAACAAGTTTTTAAAGGTGCTATAACATTTATACAGAAACCAAGGACAGGACAAGCTAACATATGAAGTTTTATGTAAGGCAAATAGGAAAATCTAAGAAACATTCTACAAAGCAACTGAACTTCCTGACCTGTAGCCACTGGAAACATCACAGCTCTGCATAGTGGTGAATTTCTGTAATCTTCCTGTATTTGGGAAGCAGAGGTAGGAGGATCCAGTGTTTGAGGCCAGCCTGAGCTACATAACATGTTAAAAAAATATTCTGAAAGGGGGAAAACAAAAGCATGAACCTTTCTGGGCCAAGGGAGAACAAAGACATGAGACATAATATGTGGACCTTTATTAGGTCCTCGAATTAAGAAAGCTGGCACCAGGGGGTCAGAGCTATAATCCTAGCTACTCAGAAAGCTGAGATCTGAGGATTGCAGTTCAAAGCCAGCCTGGGTAGGAAAATCCATAATAGTCATCTTCAATTAAGCACCAAAAAAGATGTAAGTAGATTCAAGTGGTAAAGCACTAGCCTTGAGCAGAAAAGTTCTGGGACAGTGCCCAGAAGTTCAGTATTGGCACTGATACACACAGAAAATTAAGGGTTTTATTTTATTTTTTTTTGTCCGTCGTGGGGCTTGAACTCTGGGCCTGGGCGCTGTCCCTCAGCTCTTCAGCTCAAGGCGAGCCCTCTACCACTTGAGCTACAGCGTCACTTCCGGTTTTCTGGTGGGAGGGGGGGTTTTATTGGAGATAGGAGTCTCACGGTCTCTCCTGCCCGAGCTGGCTTTGAACTGCGATCCTCAGATCTCAGCCTCCTGAGTAGCTAGGATTACAGGCATGAGCCGCCAGCGCCCGGCTAAATTAAGGGTTTTAGTGTCTGCAATAAAAATGTATTCATAACCTAATGGAATAGACTCACAAGACAAAGGATGGGTAAAGAATTCATCCAGGAAAGAAGAAAAATCAAGATGAACACAATGAATCAGTAGTATTCAAATGAAAACTTGTATGTGTTGGAGTACCTGCTAGTAACAGTATGGAACAAATGGAACCCAAATGCTTCACTTTATGGGAGTAGGAACTGGAATGACCTCTTTGGAAATAATGTAATATTTAGTCTGGAAAATGCAAGAAATTCTTTGAGCCATTCCATTACTAGGAATGTACTCCAGAGAAATTAATATATGCATATATTAATATGATCCAGCATTGTATGTTAGCAAGCCGTTGAAAAATTAACCTGTGCATTTTCATAATAAACCAAAATGGAAATAAGCTTAAGTGTACATACCAGTGACATGTAAAAGCTTGCAAAGGAATCTTATGCTGCTTTTCAGCAGGATCTTTAGATACAGAAACTCTTCAGATGCAGAAATAAACACATTCAGGACAATGTTATTTCTTTGAAAGTGTTGCAGGATGGAAGGTGCACAGGTACCTTAACTGTACTGAATGAGGTATTTTCTTAGATGTGATAGGTATCCATGAACTGTTAATTCAAACAGAAACAGGAACTACTGAATGAACTACTGAATGTCATGCTCTGCTCTAGATGTTGGAGGTAGCTAAGAAGCAAAATGTTATGCTTTTGTGGAGTCTTGGATATGTGAAATACATGCTTAAACATTTCATTATAAGAATGGTAGCCGGGCGCTGGTGGCTCACGCCTGTAATCCTAGCTACTCAGGAGGCTGAGATCTGAGGATCGCGGCTCAAAGCCAGCCCGGACAGGAGAGACCGTAAGACTCCTATCTCCAATAAACCACCAGAAAACCGGAAGTGGCGCTGTAGCTCAAGTGGTAGAATGCTCTCCTTGAGCTGAAGAGCTGAAGGACAGAGCCCAGGCCCAGAGTTCAAGCCCCACGGCCGACCAAAAAAAAAAAAAAAAAAGAATGGTAAACTTCGATAGAAGAAATGGGAATGAAACCTCAGTTTTTAAAAATGATAAAGCTGTTTCTCTGGGAAGTTACCCCCAAATGACAAGATACTAAGCTTTTTTGCCCAATAAGTTGGAAGACCTTAAGAGTGATGTGCAATCTCTGGGCACTGGTGACTCACACCTGTAATCCTAGCTACCCAGAAAACAGATTTGAGGATCATGGTTTGAAGCCAGCTCTGGGCAGCAAAGTCCCTGAGACTTGTCGCCAATTAGCCATCAGAAAAGGGCAAGTAGTAGTGTAGATCAAAGTGGTAGAGCACTAGCCTTGAGCAAAAAAAGAAAAGGCTCAGGGGCCGCATCCAGGCCCTGAGTTCAAGCTCTATAACAGGAGAAAAAAAAAAGTGAGGTGTAATGTTTTGGCTGAAGGAGACTGGACAAGCTCTTTGCTGATGTTGAAGAGAATGGCCTTGCATCTCCCGGGGCCCATAAATTTCTTTGCCTCTTGTTTCTTCTAGGGATGACCTTGGTTTTGCAGGATCAGAATTGGGTAGTATACATACAAAAAATGACTAGCATGGCACAAGTTGGGCAGAAAACAAAAGAAGCTCAGTCTCCAATACCCTCATCCCTCTAGCTTGGTATACAGGGTAAGGGTGTTAGTATTATGCTCACCTTTTGGTCCTCAGCTCCACTTAGACCTGAACCCCTCCCATCCCTAGAGTTCCCGCCATGCAGCTGGCCCCTCCCTCTATCCGCCCAGACCCACCTGAGCTCCCATCTACCTCACTTCCTGTCCCCCAGACCCTGCTGCTACCTGGATAAGGACAGGTGCCATGTGCTCTTTCTTGGAGGAAATATGGCTCTTTTAATCTATTAATCTTCCTCCTGTGCCTGCCTGCTTCTGAGTGGTCTGGGATGGGTGTGCGGGGATCCTTCAGAGGGAATAAGAATTTTAACACTCCCCCCCCCCCCTTTTATTAGTATTGGGATTAACTCAAGGCCTTAGCACTTCCTAGGCAGGTTCTCCAGCCCCTTTTTTCATTGGCTATTTTCTTTAAAAAAAAAAAAAATCCTAGGTAGGGTCTCACTTTATTCCTGGGTGGGCCTGGGCTGTGATCCTTCTATTTTGTGCTTTCCCTTGACACTGGAGCAACAGGCATGGGCTACTCTGCCTAGCCACCAGTTGAGATGGAGTCTCGCAAATTTACTTTCTGCTTGTCTGCCCTCGAATTCTAATCCCCAAACTTCACCTGAAAGTACCATCCTAGAAGAACACAGAGACACACAGTCATGTACAGAGAAAGAGGTTTATTGTCAGCCGAGGAGAGGACAAGGTTAGTTATCTTACTGGAGAGAAAAAGTGCTTGTCTTTATCTAAGGAGGTTTTTATCATCTAGAGGGGGTAAGGGCGGGATTTCATGCGGGAAGTGAAAAGCAGAGGATTCCGTTACGGTGGACTAAGATTTAAGGCAGCTGCCCGAATAGTAGATGAAGAGGCATGCCGAAGACTGACCAAATGGAAGGTTACTTCAAGGTGAAAGGGAGGGAGTTGGCCAAAGGGACCCTTTGTCGGCCAATCCGGGGAAAGGAGCACGTCAGGCTAACATCACCTACCAAGTAGCTCGGGCTTAGGCTTCAGCAGCCTAAGCTTTCAGGCTTTTCAAACAAGGTCTCCTTATGCCTCCCGATCCCTCGGCCTCTGCCTTCCAGAGTCAATGCGCTTGGCTTGCTTTACCCGGACTTTTAGCCAACCACCTAGCTGGGAAGGAGCACATCGAGAGGCCGGATTGCGAGCAGACCCGGGCGGGCTCCACTTCTGAATAGGGAGCCCGGCAAAGCAGCGTCGCCTCCGGCCCGCCCCCAGGGCGGGGCAAAAGAGTGCGGCGTGGACTTGAGGCGGGACACACCGGCCACCAGCACCGCTGAGCTGTGTTCGGGGAGAGAAGATCAAGGGACCTGGTGTGGGGGTAATTGGGCCGCGGAGGGCCTCTGCGCCAGCGGCTCGAGCCGGGCGGGCGAATGCCCGACGCTGCTCCGGTCGGCGAGTCTCGTCGTACCTGCTTGAAGGCGCCTGCGCACTGGGAACCCCACCCTTGGAGTCACCTGGGGAAATCAACCCGCCCGCTTCGCACATGCGCAGTACCAGCTGCCCGGCCGAGGAGTCACGTGTTCTGCGCCGGGCGCCTTCAGGGCGGGCGCTTCCTGTCGCTTCCTCGGCTGCCGCCCGCGGGCTGCGGGAAGCCAGGGCGGCGCCGGGCTGGAGAAGGCCCGTGTTTGATTCGGAACCGCCGCGAGGTACGCCGCTTACCCGCTCCCCCTACCCCCCGGCCTGGGGAGGTTTGGGGGCGGCCGAGGAGCCGGAGGCGGCTGGGGCGGGGCGGGGCGGGAGTGGGGGCCCCGGCGTCGCCTCCTGCGGACTCCTCGTCCCTGCAGCCGCGGACGTGGGCAGCTCCACTGACCTCGTCTTTCTCCCGGGCTCAGTTGACGCCCGCCGTTCAGTCAAGTCACCGAAATCTGACACTCGGAGTCCCGATCGCTCGCGCCCGCGCGCCCGCACCCCGCTGCCCCCGCCGCACTGCGCCCGGACCGCTTCCCGCCGCCCCACGCGCGCCCGCCCACCGGGGCTAGAAGCTCTGAACCTTCTCTCTGCGGCCTGGTGTCTCTTCCTTCTTCAGGACTATCACACTACCGCCCAGACCATCTTTAGGTCTAAAGGACTTCAATTTTAACCCCTGTCCACATTCCCATCCGCTTATCCCATTTCTGGGGACCTATTTTGGTTTATACTCCCAGTAATACCAGCCCTTTATGCAAGCCAAGCCATTTCTTACTTCAGATCCATTATCAGGGTGTTCACTGTGCTTGGAGACCTGTACTCCTTCCTTCTCTCAACTTCATGACTCAGCACAGGCCTCACCTCCTAAAAGCCTTTTCTCTCTTCGCTGGGTGGGTAAGGCGCCTCCCCTGGGCAGTCATAGCTCCTTCTGCAGCCCTGTGATGGTTGTCTCCAAGTGTTCCTTTGAAGCCTGAGAAAAGTGGCAGATGAATTACTACACTCCCCGTGGCTGGCCTTGTCCATCATGGAGGTCCCACGAGTGGTGGGAAGGTGGCTGAGAAAATTGCCCAGTCAGATTTCTTTAGAGCAGAGTTGTCCCAGGAAACTGCAATGATGAAAACATTCTCTGATTTGTGCTGCGTGATGGTAGCCACGAGCCACATAGAGCTGTCAAGCACTTGAGTTGTATCTGCTATGGGCCGAGGAACTGCATTTTTAGTTTTAATTAAAATTTAAACGAAATACCCCACTGTCTGGACAGTGAGAGCCTTCCTAAATCCTACCCAGCCTTCTACCCTCCCTGTATGCAGAGGTACTTCCTTGGATCTGCCTTCTAAATTTGTCACTTCACTAATGTGTGTGAATCTACACTTGCTACTAACAATTTCCCTCTCCCCCTCCCCTTGCTTTAGCACTCTTAATTCCTAGCATTGTTATTTCACCTTTTGGTTCACAGCACAGCCACCCTGAGGTGCTTACCACTGTTAGGAGCACCATTCATAGTCCACTCCAGTCTGAGTCTCTTCAACTCCCCAACTGACAGGTATCTAGGCCGCCAAGATGCCAGGGCCAAGACCTCGGAAGGGCCCTCAAGCCAGTGGCCAGGGTGTGGCAGCTGCCAAGCAGGTATGAATGTGGTTTCCATCATCTCTTAGTCAACTGGGTTGGGATCCCTAGACAATTGGGTCACCTGTGTGGTTTTTTCTGTTAGTTCAAAGATTTAGAGCATTGCATCCTGCAGGTGGGAAAGCCCTCTGATTAGAGCCTGTCACCCAGGTGGTAAAAAGCCAGAGCTCCTCTCCTGGTTTTTTTGTTGTTGTTGAATGCTGGTACTGGGGTTTGGTCCCAGGAATTCCAGCTCTTTTTTTTTTTTTTTGCTCTTCATTTTCTTTTTATTAATTTAATTTTTTATTGTGAGAATACAGTACAGAGGAGTTACAATTACATGGGCAAGATAACGAGCACATTTCTTTTTTTTTTTGAGTCTGGTCGTGGGGCCTGAACTCTGGGCCAGGGCGCTGTCCCTCAGCTCTTCAGCTCAAGGCTAGTGCTCTACCATTTGAGCCACAGCACCACTTCTGGCTTTTTTTCTTTTTGCTTATGTGGTGCTGAGGAATCGAACCCAGGGCCTTGGGCATGCAAGGCAAGCGCTCTACCACTGAGCAACCTTCAAGCATTGTTGCCTTCTCCTTGTTTCCCCTTCCCATCCCTTCCCATACTCCTCCCCTCCCCCCACCCAGTCCTCCCCCTTCCCCCCACCAAAGTTGTTTTTTCCACATGAACTCCAGCTCTTGCTTGGCTTTTTCACACAAGGCTGGAGCTCTGCTAGTTAAGCTACACTTCCACTTCTTACCTTTTGCTGATTAATTGGAGATGAGTCTCTCAGATTTTTCCGCCCAAGTTGGCTTTGAACCTTTATCCTCACATCTCAGCCTCCTGAGTAGCTAGGGTGATAGACATAAGCCTTTAGCACCCAACTCCATCCTGCATTTCAACCAGCAATCTTCCTGCCATGATCACTAGATATGAGTAGTCTGGAGATTTTAGGTTTTAGTAGCCTCTGAAGTTCAGGATGTTCTTATGTTCTCTGGTGCAGACCTCCATAGGTTTCTCGTTTAGGCTCCTCCTTTCCTTGCAGTTAAGGATATTAGGGCTTGAGGGATGCAGCCAATGAATGGGTGGACATAGAGCAGTGACCAAAGTGGGAGATGTAGTGTGTGTGTGTGTGTGTGTGTATGAGAGAGAGAGAGAGAAGGAGGGAGAGAAGGAGAATTTTTTCCTTCTAGCTTAAGTTCTGAGATTTCTTAGTCTATATTTTAGGTGGGAGATAGGTCAAAGAGCATAGATTGAATTCATGAAGCCCTTATTTTCAATTCTGATTCTGTCATTCATGAGGCTCAGTTTCATCTGATTTACCTCTACTGCAGTAGTCACATTTATGGACACAGATCGTAGAGTGATGGTTACCAGAGGTCAGAGGGAGGGGAGAAGGGGATGGCAGTATTTATTATGTACAGAGTTTCAGACTGGATGGCTGGGGATGATGGTTATACAACAATATAAATATACTCACATCACTGAATTCCATACTTAAAGAGATAGGATGAAAAATGGCACTGTGTGTTTTACCACTGAAAAAATAATGGGCCAGATATGGTGGAGAATATCTGTAATCGCAACACTACAGAGGTTGAGGCAAGGCCAGCCTGGGCTACCCAGTGATACTCTGTCTCAAAGAAAGAAACAAACGAAGGTGTATGTGGAATTAGTGTAATCATGTATTATTTCACATTCAGGACCTGGGAGCTATTGCTGTGTTGTTAGTAATAATGGCAGTGTAGTCTTACTGAGGGTGTTGAAGAGTTGTTCCCTACATTGGCAGTCCTCAATTTCACTTTCTGCACCTTGGGTCTACAGAATAAAGGAGCCACTGATTGGGACATTAGGAACCCAATGGCTCCAGACTGGGCTCTACCCTAGTTCATTGTGTGATTCTCTCCTGTCAGCTGGGGCTTTTTGTGGAGTTCAATCCTGAGGAGATGCTGCTGGGGATGGACGAGACTGAAGATGATGGGGACCTGGAGGCTGAGCTGCTGGCTCTCACAGGGGAAGCAGGGAGCACAGTGAGGAAGCCAGCACCCAAGGCACAGGGTGAGTTTCTGCTGGGCTCGATGTGTATATGGTGGATAGGGTAGTTGACTTGTAGCCTGGAGGATCTAGCCACATCCCTTGGTCCTTTTTTTGTGCCCGTCATGGGGCTTGAATTCAGGGCCTGGGCACTGTCCCTGAGAAATTTGCTCAAGGCTAGAGCTTTACCACTAGAGCCACAGCTCCACTTCCATGTTTTGATCGTTACTTGGAGAAAAAGAGTCTCACAGACCTTCTGACTGAGCTGGCTTTGAACCATGGTTTTTCAGCTCTCAGCCTTCCAAGTAGTTAGGATTATAGGCATGAGCACCTGGTACTCAGCTTTCCTTGGCCTGTTTTGTTTTATTTTGTTTTTGCCAGTCCCAGGGCTTGAACTCAGGACCTTGGCCCTGTCCCTGAGCATTTCTGTGCTCAGGGCTAGCACTCTACCACTTGAGCCACGGCACCACTTCCAGCTTTTTCTGTTTATGTGGTACTGAGGAATTGAACCCAGGGCTTCATGCATGCTAGGCAAGTACTCTACCACGAAGCCACATTCCCAGCCCTCTCCTTGGCCTTTCTGTTTTTGTTTGTTTTTGTCGGTCATGGGGCCTGAACTCTGGGCCAGGGCACTGTCCCTCAGCTTTTCAGATCAAGCCTAGTGCTTTACCACTTGAGCCATAGCGCCATTTCTGGCTTTTTCTGCTTATGTGGTGCTGAGGAATTGAACCCAGGGCCTCATACATGCAAGGCAAGCACTCTACCACTGAGCCACCTTCCCAGCCCCTCCTTGGCCTTTCTGCTACCCACATCCCTTCTCAGCTCTCCTACCAAGAGGACAATCACCTGTGTGATAGTTCTCTCTGTCCCTGAGCTATCACTCACCCTTGTGGACAAATCTGATTCTCACTGTTAACTCGGGTCACTAGCATTAGCTAGGTCTTGGTGCCCAGAAGAGGCCCAATTAGCACTGGGCACATAGTACTTGTACAAAGATTCTGCTGCATGAATAAGTGAAGTCTCCCTTTGCTGACTGCATAGAGACAGAGCTCTGGAAGGCCTGGAAGGATGGGGGACGGGGAGGGCTAAATCTTCCTCAGAAAGAGTCAATCATTCCTTCTTCCATGTGTCACTGACCTGGGCATGATGAGTGGATGAGGAAGGGGGTCACAGATCTGTGCATGCTTTTAGATTAGACAAACTTGTACATGACCCTCACCAGCTTGTTCTTTGTTTATTCAGTATAATAAAATGGGGGTAGTATTACCCATCTTGCAGAATGGTTTTGAAGCTCAAATTGATGCTAAAAATTTTTACAAATGTGAAATGTTGGAGGTAATGAATGCACATATTTAAGAACTACTGCAGAAATGTAGCAGAAGGGCATCTTGTTGCTCATTGTAACCCAAGAGAGTGTCCTTCCCTGACAAGGGTTTTGAGCTGGGTCACAAAGAAAAGGAGCTTTCTGACTGAGACTTTTCTGTGGGAAGGAAGGGTGACTTCTGGGTGGGCATATATCCCAATGCAGTAGATTGTAGACAGTCCTTTTCATGTCCTGAACCTTATTTGAGTTATCCTGACCTTCTGTGACCCTTTTTTCCCCCAGCACCTCTGCCCATGGCCCACATCGAGAAGCTGGCAGCAGACTGTATGCAGGAAGTGGAGGATGAAGAAGACGAGGAGGAAGGACTGGAGGAGGATACAGATCTGCTAGTGAGTCTGCCAGGCTGGTATCCAGTCATTCATTGTTCAAGGTTGGGCCTGATGGGGGTGAAGCCTTGGACAGAAGCCTTGGGTTTGCCTCTGTCTCTGACTTTGATGTACCCTTCCCAAGCTTGTCTTCCTGCCTTTGTAGTACAAGACTTCTCTCCTTTAAACTTCTCTATAAGCTCTGAAGTTGGGATTCTCAGATTTGATCTTTGCTGTTTTCAGTGTACTTGGTTAGATTAAAGAAACGTTTTGGGCTGGGCGCCGGAGGCTCACACCTGTAATCCTAGGTACTCAGGAAGCTGAGATCTGAGGATCATGGCTCAAAACCAGCCCGGGAAGGAAAGTCCATGAGACTCTTTATCTCCAATAAACCACTAGAAAACCATAAGTGGCGCTGTGGCTGTGGCTCAAGCTGTAGAGCGCTTGCCTTGATCTGAAGAGCTCAGAGACAGTGCCCCAAGCCCAGAGTTCAAGCCCCACGACCGACCAAAAAAAAAGAAATGTTTTGGGAGACTGGAGTTTTGGCTCAAGTCTGGTAAAGCACCAGCTGTGAATAAAAAAAGCCCTGAGTTCAAGCTCCAATCTCAGCACTAAAAAATAAAGCCGGGCAAGTGATGGCTGACACCTGTAATCCTGGCTACTGTGGAGGCTGAAAGCTAAGATTACAGTTCAGAGCCAGCCTGGGAGAAAAGTCCGTGAGACTCTGCTCTTCCCATGAGACTTTCTAACTACTGAGAAAAAAAAAAAGCCAAAAATGAAGCTATGGCTCAAAGTGGTAGAATACTGACCATGAGCAAAAACTAATTGAGAGTACGAGGCCTTGAGTTCAAGTCCCAGTACCAGTGCAAAAATATAAACAAAATAGAAGTGTTTTGGTAAAGGAGACTAAGCACAAGTACTTGTCACCGGTGTGATTATGAGGCCTCCATGTTTCTGGGACTCATACCTCCCCAGACAGAGCTGCAGGAGGTCCTGGGTGTGGATGAGGAAACTGGATCACTGGATGGTGGTGAGGCCAAAAGCCCAGACCTCTCTGAGGAGGATATGAGGCAGGAAGACACTGAACCTCCAATGAAGACAGCCTTCCTCATGGCTTCCAGCCCAGTGACTGAGGTAAGTTCTGGAGGTGGGTCTCTGTGTGTTGGGACACCAAGGCTGCTAAATAAACTTTCAACAGCAGCTTCCCCAAGGAGAAGCCAGTGTGAAAAACTTTATCTGGCCCCTTTAAAGGCTTCTTTGTTTTCCCAGAGTATCCCCTGAAGCCATTTCTAGGCCTCCACAGATTGTCTGGGCTTCTGTGTTTGCCTGACTTGACCTCTGGCTTCTCTAGTGGTTCTTTACCTCTTACCTTGGAATTTTGGGCTCTTTGTCCTGGAGCCCAAGAGCTCCATCTTCTGGAGCTTCCACACAGGGAGCAAGTGGCAAGAGCCTCACTGGCTAGGGAGTAGAGCAGCGCTGAGATGAGGTATCTACAGGTTGGTGAGCCTCGGGGACTACAGGCTTTGCTGGAGGAACGGATCCATAACTACAAGGAAGCTGTAGCCAGTGCCAAGGAGGCTGGTGAAGCAGCTAAAGCCAGGCGCTGTGAACGAGGTCTGAAGGTGAGTTGGGCCCCTCAGGAGAGGAAGGCTATGGGTAAGGCAGCAGGGTACGCCGCACAAGTGGAAGAGAGGCCTCTCTCCCAGCCTGCTGGATATGATGGACCACTAGCCTGTCTTTGAGCAAGGCCCATAGTTAAAGATGGCTGCTTGGGATTCTGGACAGATTTTCTCCCTTAGACTCTGGAGTCCCAGCTTGCTACTGTGAGGAAAGGCGGAAAGATCAATGAGGATGAGATCCCACCACCAGTGGCCTTGGGCAAGAGACCCCCTGCCACCCAGGAAACTAGTAGAAATCTGAAGGCGGACTCTCCAGCTCTTCCTGCCATGGACCCAGGTAGCTGGAGATACGTAAATACTGCCTAATTCCCAGGGTCAGTGGCCTCCTCTACTCCCCCTTTCCATTGCCACCAGTCACCTTCCCCAAGAAGTCCATTGACTGTGGAAACCAGTGACCACTGGGAACCCCAAGTGCACTCTCCCGTGACTCTTACTCCATTCCTGAGGAATTTTTGTTTCTTGTAGACAGTTCTTCACAACATGAGACCAGCCTCCCAGAAAGCTCTGCCATTGCTGCCTCACCTGATTCTGACCCAGACCCACAAGCCCTCCTCTTGGCTCGACAGAGAGAGTACAAGGTGGCTGCTCTCACTGCTAAGCGTGCTGGAGATCTAGACCGGGCCCGAGAGCTCATGAAAATTGGGAAGGTAAGACATCTGGCTTAGAGTCACTGTCCCTATTCTGTGTTCTATAGATGTAGAAGTGGAAGCTCAGAGAGGGAGCCAGACTGGGGGAGTTGTTTCAGCCCGGGTTCTTGAGGCTCACTTGGTTACATCTGTACCTGCTTTTCTCACTACTACAGAGATTCGGTGCTGTCCTGGAGGCTCTGGAGAAGGGGCAGCCCGTGGACTTGAGTGCTATGCCCCCAGCACCTGCGGGTCAGTGTGGGAGAGTGAAGGCAGCTGCTGGGGCTGGAGTTGGGTATTCAGAGGAGTAGGGCTGGCCAGGCACCTTACCTACTGTTCTTCTGCTCTGGGTCCCCAGATCTGAAGGAACTCTCACAGGCTTCTAAGATGCCGACAGCAGTCCCAGGCCTGTCCCCAGCAGTGGAGCGGGTACAGCCAGTGATGGCCCCTGCCATCCCAGCGACCACAGGTAGGACAGGCCGTGAGACTGTGGAGAAGTGGACTTGAGGAGAGGCAGGCAGAGCTGATGCCCTCTTCTTACCCATGTTAGTGGCCCCTGCAGAGCCACAGACAGTGCTGGATGCCCTCCAGCAAAGGCTGAACAAGTACCGAGAAGCCGGTATCCAGGCCCGGGCCAGTGGGGATGAGCGCAAGGCCCGGATGCATGAACGAATTGCCAAGGTGGGTGCAGGGTCCTTCAGTTCCCTGCTCTGTGCTGGCCTCTTTCTCTGCCTGGCTGCTCCCTGTCTTTCTGCTCCTTCCACTTGTCTTAGACTTCTCTGGGTCTCCATCTCTGTCTCTTGTTCTAATGATCTCAGGGCTCTTTCTCACAGAGCTCTTGTCTTCCCCAGTCTCTTTTCCCCTTGGTGGGTATGGAGCCTGCAGACTTCAGTCCACCAGAGGTTCTTCCCTCCCTTCCTTTCTGTGCAGCAATATCAGGATGCTATTCGAGCACATCGAGTAGGACGGAGAGTGGACTTTGCTGAGTTACCTGTTCCTCCAGGTGAGTGGGACTTCTTTATTCTAGGGGCCCTATGAGGTCTCCTGAGCAAGGAGAGGGAGCCATGAAAAGTCTATCAGCAGCCTCATATATATCTAAGACTGCTGCCTCCCCCCCATTCCAACTTCCCTCACAGGATTTCCCCCCATCCCTGGCTTGGAATCCAATGTGGGCACCTCAGAAGACTCAGTGGCAGCAACTTTGGCAGCTGCCCAAAGACTAGCCTCAGAGGATGCGGCCCCAGCAGATGAAGATGAGGACGAGGACAAGGTTTGGCTGAGGGCCCAAGACTCCAGAGCATGATGGGTAGATATAGCAGACGAGGGGTAAATGAGACCCTGTGGTTCACACTTAACAAATCCAGTGAGGTCAGTATCCTTGTCTCTATTTTAAGCTCTGTCCCTGACAGAGCTAGAACTCAAACCCAGGTGTTTGTGGCCCCGGGCTTCTTCAGCTCTTAAGTTGCTGTAAGACTCAGGAGAAACCACTAAGCTCCCATAACACAGTGGATTAATGCAGCATTAGGAAGAATTCCTAAGTCTGAGGGCTGCCACCTAAGCATGGGGAATGGCCACCTGACAGCTTCCTGGCCACCTGCAGGGTGAGACCCCAGCACAGGCCCCAGTGGCCAAGAAGCCAGCACAGCCTTTGGGCCCTCCAGCCCGGTCCTTACCTGAATCTAAGGCTTCAAGTTCTAAGGAGTCACCGAATCCATCTGGTGAGTTGGAGACAAGCAGGATGGAAAAGTCAAGGGTCTTGAGAGGGGCAGGCATGGCTGCCCTAACCATTGGCTTTTCCCTTCAGTGCAGGAGCAGCTAGCATTGCTAGAGGCTCGGAAACTGCAGTATCAGCGAGCAGCTCTGCAAGCCAAGCGCAGGCAGGACCTGGAGCAGGCCAAAGCTCACATGCGGGTTGCCAAATGTCTTGAGGCTCAGATTGCTCAGGCCAGAGTTGGCCGACCTGTTGACTTTTCAAAGGTGAGTTCTAACTGTATATGCACAAGATTTTCTCACTTGGTAGTCGGGGCCAGGCTTGACAGGCAGGGGCCTGGACTAGGGTGGTTCCTGGAAGGAGGACAAATTTGGGTAAGATGAGGTGACAGCTGGAAAAGAGCATTTTGCTTATGCCTTTCTTTCCATCATGGTCCTGGGAGAAGTCAAGGGAAGGAAACAAGGACTTCTTGTAGTCAGAGGTGTCCAGACAGGACAAGGCTAATGAATGTTAGTCACCAAAGGTGGTAGGAGTTCAAGAAACATCTAGCATGGATTCTTGCATTTGTTGGGTTTTAATAAAGGAGTAATTTGACTCTTGGGCCCCGAGGGGCCTGGTGACCTGGGCAGGTGCCTTCACCCTTGACGGATGAAGAGGGTGACTTCATTCTTATCCACCATGAGGACCTGCGACTATCCCAGAAGGCTGAGGAGGTATATACCCAGCTACAAAAAATGCTTTTGGAGCAACATGAGGTCAGTAGGCTGTGTGTCTGCCTCTTCCTTCCTTTTTAGCACCCTTGGTCTCCCTGTGGAGAAAGGCATGGGGCTCAGAGTAGGTGGGCCCCAAATTGTAGTTCTTTTCCTTATTGGCTGTGTGCTTTGGGCAAGGCACTTCCCTTCTTGAAACACATTAACTTCATTTGTAAAATGGGAGGATGCTAAAAACCCTTCTTTCAGGATGGTTACGAAGGCGAGACAACATAGTTAAGAGGATTGTGCTTTGTAAGTGTTCTCCTGTCTGTGTCCCCATCTGATACACAAGATAGTGTCTGCATTCAATTTCTATGTCTGTGTGTGTGTGCCAGCATAGGGGCTTGAATTCAAGGCCTTGCACTCTCATTTGGCTTTTTCACTCAAGACTGGCACCCTACCACTTGAGCCCCAGCTCTACTTCTGGCTTTTTGGTGGTTATTTGGAGATAAAAATTCTCACAGACTCAAAATGTCTCACAGATCTCAGCCACCTGAGTAGCTAGGATTAAGGCATGAGGCTTTTTTTTCTTTTTATTGTGAAAATACCATACAGAGGGGTTACAATTACATGGGCAAGATAATGAGTACATTTCTTTTTTTGGGGGGGGGGGTCTGGTCGTGGGGCCTGAACTCTGGGCGCTGTCCCTCAGATCTTCAGCTCAAGGCTAGCGCTCTACCACTTGAGCCACAGCGCCACTTCCGGCTTTTTTTTTTCCTTTTTGCTTATGTGGTGCTGAGGAATGGAACCCAGGGCCTCATGCATGCAAGGCAAGTGCTCTACCACTGAGCCACCTTCCCAGCCCATGAGTACATTTTTTTTTTTTTGTCGGTCGTGGGGCTTGAACTCTGGGCCTGGGCGCTGTCCCTCAGCTCTTCAGCTCAAGGCGAGTGCTCTACCACTTGAGCTACAGCGCCACTTCCGGTTTTCTGGTGGTTTATTGGAGATAGGAGTCTCACGGTCTCTCCTGCCCAGGCTGGCTTTGAACCGCGATCCTCAGATCTCAGCCTCCTGAGTAGCTAGGATTACAGGTGTGAGCCACCAGCGCTCAGCTATGAGTACATTTCTTATCAAGCATTGTTGCCTCCTCCTTTGTTTCCCCTTCTTATCCCTTCCCATCCCTCCCTCCTACCCCCCACCCCCGAAAAGTTGTAAAGTTCGTTTTCAACATAAGCATGAGGCTTTTTAAGTGAGCAAAGCATAGGCAGAAGAGGTTGATGGGACGTTTGCTAGGGGAGGAGAAGTGAAACTGTAGAGGAAGGTCGGCTTCAGCAAGCCCTGCTCTGGCTCTGGAGTCACTCCGGGCTCATTTTTCAGAAGTGCCTGCTGTTCTCCAAGCAGTTCATGCACCAGGGCAATGTGGCTGAGACAACCCGGTAAGTACCAGGGCGTGTGGGGTAGGGAGCAGACAAGGCGCCTCACCCTGCTGACATTCATAACCATCTCTGGCAGGTTTGAGAAGCTTGCTGAGGACCGTAAGAGACAGCTTGATATCCTGCAGCTGGCTCAGGCCCAGGGCCTCGATCCTCCCAGCCACCACTTTGAGTTGAAGACATTCCAGACTGTGAGGTGCTAATGCCTAAGGGAAACAGTGGCTCTCTGCAGGGTTGGGGCAAAAGGTTGAGAGCAAAAGACTGGAGACTTGTCTTTATAAGAGTTCCGGGTGCCCCAAGTAGTAGGGTAGGAAAAGTTTAGAATCATAATGGCTGTTGAAAGAGCTCTGTTCCGGAGTCAGAGACAAGGTGTGTTTGTACACTACTCTGCCCCTTCTAGGAAGACATCTTTACCTGATGTTAGAGGTGTAGCTCAGTGGTAGGAGGTGCTCTGGGCTGGACCCCCAGCATTGCAAGTTGGCTTCTCTTACCTGGGGTCCTTGCTTCTGGCACTAGTCAACTGGGCAGGCAGTAACTGGAATGGGAGCATTGTTCTACCACTCTGTTTCACTCCAGGCTCTCTCCATTCTTCTTGGCCATAGGATCTTCTCAGAGCTCAATAGCACAGAAATGCATCTCATCATTGTTCGGGGAATGAACCTCCCAGCCCCTCCAGGTAACACAAGTGCAACCCTCTGCAGGAGGATCTGGACCTGATACCACTCTAAGCACTGGGCTTCTGGCTACTCCCTCTGACCCAGCTCCCTTTTGTCTTTACAGGGGTGACCCCTGATGACTTGGATGCTTTTGTGCGGTTTGAGTTTCACTACCCTAACTCGGTGAGGCTCAGGTAGTTAGGATCCTCAGAATCCCAGAACTCTGCTCAGTTTCTATCTGTGGGTGGGCTGGCTATAAAGGGGTTTGAAGACTTTCCAGCCTGTTCTCCACAGGGTCTCCTCTCTCAGCACTGACCCTAGTCCACAGTTCCTGGCTCCTGTATACCCTGTTTTTCAGGCTCTCCTGATTATGTCTTCTCTGCTTTAGGACCAGGCTCAAAAAAGCAAAACAGCTGTGGTGAAGAACACAAACTCCCCAGGTGAGTGCCACATAAGTGCCCCAACTCACTGCCATCCCCTCAGTGCATAGCACTTGTGTTTCCAGAATACTTTCAGATCTTACTAATCTTACTTGGCCTACTCAACTTTGGAAATGCAGGTGTGATTAGTACTACTCCTACATAATTGGGGAAATTGTGGCTCAATAATGTAAAAGGACTTGCCTAGGGCCTCAAAGCAAGTTAGACTCTCACCCAGGAATCTTTTTGGGCCTGGGCACTGTCGCTCAGCTCTTTCGCTCAAGGCTAGCGCTCTACCGCTTGATCCACAGTGCCAATTCCGGCTTTTTCTGCTTATGTGGTGCTGAGGAATCGAGCCCAGGGCCTCATGCATGCAAGGCAAGCTCTCTACCACTGAGCCACCTTCCAAGCCCTCACCAAGGAATCTTTACTTAAATTTTAAGTCCTTTCCACTTTGTTACAATCTGTATAAGATTACACAGCTTCCAAGGCCTGGACCTACATGCTCTACCTCCCTCTCATAACACACACCTGAATTGCAGGCTGAGGTCAAGAGAAGAAACCTGTATGGTTCTTCATTTCCACGTTAGGCAATCCCTGGGAGTCAGGCTCCTTTCCTTCTCCATCTTTTGTAGAATTTGATCAAGTCTTTAAACTAAACATCAACCGAAACCACAGAGGCTTCAGGAGGGTGATCCAGAGCAAAGGAATCAAGTTTGAAATCTTCCATAAAGGGTGAGGTTCCCTTCAGTAACACGACTAAGGTGGGCAGGGAGACAGTTCTGTCTTTTGGTGCCCTTTTGGCTACTGCTCAGTTCTGAACAGGGCTTAGCCAATTCATTTCTGCCTTCCTTCTCAAACAGTCTAATCCTCTGCTCCCTTTTGACTTCCAGATCTTTCTTCAGAAGTGACAAGCTTGTTGGCACAGCACACCTGAAATTAGAACGACTGGAGAATGAGTGTGAGATAAGAGAAATTGTGGAGGTAGGGTATTCAGTGGGCAAGCTTGGTACGGGGAGAGTCAGTACTGATGAATGCCAGCCCTTACTAAAGACAACTTTTTCTGATGTGCTGTGGAAGAGGTGGTATCCCCATTTCACTGATGGAAAAGGTTAAAAAAGAATGAGAAACTCATGATAGGAAACAGCCATACTGTTACCATAACATCCAAGTCCCAGGGATGATAGATGAGAGAAGACTGTTGTGGAGACTGATATACAGCTGTGACATTTGACAGATCTATTTCCAGGTTTCTAGGGGTAGGGCTGTGTGTGATTGGAGCAGTGAGCTAGCCTCATGAAGAACTAAAACAAGCTATAGATTTGAAACTGATATAGTATTTCTGGATGAGTGACTCATGAGAATGCAGCTAGTCTGTGCTTAGGATATTGGCCCCCAGATTGCTCAAGTTTCCATGAACTGAGGGATTACACAGGCAGTAGACTCTTGCAAGCTCCTCAAACAGATAGGGAAACTTGGATCAGAGATGAAAATGGGTTGTTAGTCCCACAAAATGTGTCCTGCGCAAAGCCTGGTCCAAACCATCCTTAGTGAAGTTTGGAAGACCAAGGCTTTCTCCACTGAGCTGCCCGGCCTCCTGCCTGCCTGGAGGAAAAGGGGTGAGGCCTGGTTAGTACTGGCCTCATTGAGGCCTGTGAGATTTGTCAGATGTCTTGCAGTGCTTTGTGCTTCAGCTGCCCTTGCTGTGCTGAAGGAGGGTAGCAGGATAGATAGAAAGGAACCCTTGAGTTGGTTCTGGTCAGTTAAGACCATAGTTATCCTCTCTAGGCCTTCTGTGAAGTGAGGGTTTGGGCTCTGATTTTTTAGGCTGCTTCTTGAAGCCAGTGTTTTGTTTGTTTTCTCCAGGAGTTGCCATTGGGATTGAGGGGAAAACTGAGTGAGAAAGCTGTAGGTTTCTCATGGTCTCTTCTGTTAGGACTGATGCTTACCTAGATTTCTCTGTTACTTATTCATAGGACTTACCTAAAACCCACACATTAGGCGGGCAAGGCTGTTTCCATAGAAGATTATGATGTGAAGCACTGCAGAACACCGTAGCTCTTTTCTTCTTGGGGGCTGCCTGTCTTTTTAGTTACAATCTCCGTCTCTGTGGTTCTCATAGGTCCTTGATGGAAGGAAGCGCACTGGTGGGAAGCTGGAGGTAAAGGTGAGGCTGCGAGAGCCTCTGAGCGGCCAGGATGTGCAGATGGTCGCTGAGAACTGGCTGGTCCTGGAGCCCAGGGGCCTGTGAGGTAGGCAGCGCTCTGGAGCTCGAGAACCCTGTCTTCTCTCTGCCTGGTCCCCACAAATAAGACCCTTCTCTTAGCTTGTATCTGGGAAGAAAGCCTCCGAATTTCTCTTCTATGAGGTAGAAATCTTGAGTAGGGCTCCCAGGTGGTGTTTCTTTTCCTCAGTAGAGAGGGATGGTAACCGTCCAGTTCTTAACTGTCTTTAGGAAACCCCTTTGCTGAGGTTTAAACTGATTTGCTTTGCTTTTGCCCTGTGCAGCAGGTGGTCAGCACTAGGAGAGAACCAACCAGCGGTGATGTGAACCAATTGGCTTTCCCAGCTTCACTAGCTTTGAAAGTCTTTGTATATAAGAGATGCTGCTACACAAGCACCAAAGACCTAGAATATGGGCCCTACTAACCATGGTTCTGGCTTTCCTCTTACGGGCCCCTTCTAAGCCTTCATGGAAGCAGGCTGGATCCCGGAAGCTACCCCAACCTGCCCTAAATGTGGGTGAAGGCAAGGAAGGATTCCCTCATTGCTCTGTCATGGAGTACTTCAGCCCCTTAACCTCTGCATTGCAACTGTGTGCAGCTTACCCCTGCTCCCAGTTGTACTATTTCTGGATGTGCCTTTAAAAGATGTAACTGAAGGGACAGGATGTGTGACGGTGATCGGAACCTCCACTAGTGTTCCGTGATAGCTGGTGAGTCCCGTTCAGCCAAGTTTACCCCAGTTCTGCCTGTGCCTGTGCCTTTGTTCCTGACAGCTGCTGCACTAGCCTTCCTGCTTCCCAAGGGACAAAGTGGAAGAGGAAAGATACTTATGGTACTACTTTGGTGGGAAATAAGGGTAAGGTTGTATCTCGGGTTTGGTCCATGTACCTAAGAAGGAAGACTGATAACAGAGGAAAAAATACATATATATTTATATTAAAGTTTATGTAGTCATTTTTATTTAAGAAACTAGGTCTCGCTCGTTGTAGGGATTTTATTCTCTACACACAGTGTAAACCATCAGTCTAAAACAACAGTCCGCTTTAAAAGCCAAGCTCACAGTCACACTTAGCCACTGCAGTTGTGGCTTCCTCACTTGAGAGAAAAGAAGGGGAAGAAAACGCTTCCCTCAGCTGATCACCTGAGATTTCCCTTAGTTCTTTCCAAAGTTTTCCTGTGGATGGAAACAATGAAGGGATTTGTAGTATAATATATTTAATATTCAAAACTACAGTATTCTACATTTTTTAAGAAATAAACACCCTATTCCCTATCTCTTTTTTTGAAGCATTATGTTCAGTGAAGTGTTCTTCAAGATTGTTATTAAAACCTGTAATGAAGCGAACACATTGCGCTTATTATAGTATTGCATATGCACAGCTCAGGGACTGAATTCAAGCATATGTTGGGAATAACAGGGACAGGCCATGCTTCTGTGCCCCAAAGAACAGAGCCTAGTGAATAATACAGCAGGACTACTATCAAAGGACTTTTCTAACAGCCCTCTAGCTCCTATCTTTCCTGTCATTTGTGAGCTAGACATACATGAGAGGTTGAACCCTCAATTGCTGTCTTATATGTCACAAAGTAATCTAGCATGAAAAGAAGGGTCATCACCTTTGTGAAATGACCTAGAGCAAAAAGGGCTGGCCTGAAGGATGCAACCAGTCCTTAACTTCACTTTTGTGTTTGCATCCAACCCAGAATGCGCCAAAAAGGTGGAATTATCCTCAAGTTCTAAATTCATGCCTGTGCTAGGAATATTGTTTCAGTCAGACATTTTCTGTGGCTCTGAAGATTTTTTTCTTAGGCAGCCTGCTTAATTTCAGTGTGCTTCAGCTGAGAGGCCCCACAAAGCCACCCACTGGACTTAGAGACTAAGGTTCTTAAAAGGCCTTTGTTGTGGCCAGCACATTCATGGGAGTGGGAGTGGTTTGCAGAGCTTCATCTCATCCTAAGATTTGTCCAAATAAAGTAACCAACATTGGAGGTGGGGAAGACTAGGAACTAGCCACAGTCCAAGTAATCTTCACATTTTATATTGTTTGGTCTAGTACAGAATATACTTCTGAATTGGCAAACTGAAGAAATTTTAGCATTAGGAAGCTTTGATCAAAGTGCAAATTCTTGAGTGACTTTACCATTCTTTTTTTCTCTGAAACCTGCACAGTTGCTTTCAGATTCTCAATACTTACTTTCCAAATATTTGTGGTCTCTCTTTTAAGATTTTGGTCTTTTCAGGTTGAACCCAACATTGGGGCTGAGAATGGTGGATACAGGGAACTTGCACCTGGTCTAGCTCTATCACAGGTGGATTCTTCCCCTTCTCTGCGTATCATTCTTTTTCCACCCCCTGGCCCTTGTATTTGTACAATCCCTAAAAAGTCTCAATGAGTTTTAGTAAACTAGAAACCTCCATCACAGCTTAACTTCAGAAAGTGTTGACCAGATTATCTGAAATAATTTCTTATGACCATAGCTAAATCAGAAGTTTGAGGCTTACCAGCAGGAACCAATCTAAGTAAGGAAATTACACTGTTAGATCCCCCATAAGTCCAGGTGTTCAGAAAGTGTTGCTAAGAATAGCGGGAGAAACTACACTGCCAGGCCATTTTATAAACATGCAATATTTTTTTTTAATTTAGTAATTACCAAAATGGCAATTTTGTTCCTTTTCAGTTGTCTTTAAGTTTACAATATAGAAAATGTCTAATTAGGAATGTGACATTTCAGCATTTAACTTTGTATGATATAAAACCAAAGATAAGGAGGGGAAAAACTAGTTTTAGTTGTTTATGTCCTGTTTCACAGGATGGTTTTTCTACACATAAAGGGCATTTTACACAGTTAAGAATGGACCCGATTATACAAGGCCAGAGCTTGAGTGGGAGAATTAAAAGCTTGCATTGACTGAAGAAATCTGTACAATGGCAAACTGTATTTGTCGGGAGCAGGAAGAAAAGAGGAGCTAGGAAATCAGGACAAGCGTCTAGAAGCCCTGGACTTGTGAGGTACATTTATACTAAGCTTGCTATGGACACCACATATACCTGCCCCTGTAAACAATTGCTGTGGGTCTCGTCTGGTTGGTGGGGTAGTAGTCTGGCAGTCCCAGGGCTCCATCCTTAACAACTAATGCTGTGTAAGCTAAATAGCCCCTGAGAAGCTTGGTGCCTCTGGTCTATGAGAAAACTTACAATCAATTCTCTGTAGGTTCTATCAGCAAAGATGGGAGGGAGATGTGGAATGTAATCCTCACCCAACCCCATGGAGAGGATAAACTCAGCCAGACATACTTCAGACTAGGCTTTTGAGAATCTGGAAAATAGCTTCAACCTCAAACAGCTGTATAGCCTGTTATTGCCAAGTGTTGGGAAACACTGGGAAACAGCCACTCACTGTCCTGGAACCCAGAACATTTGAAGAACACTTTGGCTGCAGAGACTAAATCCTGTACTAAATTCTGGACTTTGAGATGATGTCAAAGATAATGGAGTGGGTTTCCTGAGAGCAAGAGTTTTCAAATTGGGTTGTGACATCCTTTAACAAGAAAATGAGCACGGTTCCACATTTATCCTGGGCAGACCAGACTTGGGTTTCTATATATTATCAATCTCACTAAGAAACCAGCACTTCTAGAAACACTGGTTGATTCCAAACCTGGGGCAGGGCAAGTACATGATTAGCCTGGAAAACCTTATGTCATGATGATGTAGGGGCCAACCTGAAGGTACTCCATTAGCCTAAAACATCATTTAAGCACCAAAGGAAATCACTGAAGAAAAAGTAATAGGGATGAATGGCATTTACACATGGCCAAATCCAGCTGCTACCAGTGCTAGGACTAGAAAGTCATTTTGCAGCTGTCATAGTGAAAGATCAGTACAGGTAAGAAACATCAATGGATGCTAAGTCTAGGGATACTTTGTTGTGCAAGATGTATGTATGGTGTTAAAGTGACTCTGCATGTATTAGCTCCTTAGGAGTGGAGAAATTGGAGGTCTTGACCAAGTGACCAGATTTACCACCATCAAGGAGAGGTAGATGGCTATCAAGTGATTGTGGTCAGATATGGATAGATTCTAATAGTGATCAATGAAATATTTTCTATTAAAAATAGGTTTTGGGGGACTTACAGTCACGAAAAAGTACCAAGGATAAAGGCAAGTTTATGACATAAAAATTCAGGAGAGCTACATGCCATTTCTGGTCCTAGGCTAAAAGTCTTACTGGAGATGAAAAATGACCTAGAGATATTTATTAGGCAGATCACATATAAAAAAATGTGATGTTGGGCTGGGAAGGTGGCTTAGTGGTAGAGTGCTTGCCTAGCATGCATGAAGCCCTGGGTTCCATTCCTCAGTACCACATACACAGAAAAAGAAGTGGTGCTGTGTGTGGCTGCAGAGGTAGAGTGCTAGCCTTGAGCAAAAGAAGCTCAGGGACAGTGCCCAGGCTCTGAATTCAAAGCTAAGCACCAGCAAAAAAAAAAAAAAAAAAAGTGATACTGACTGAAGTTTAGAAATGCCTGCAATTATACGATATGATTCTTTTTAATTTTCCAGTCCTGGGGCTTGAACTATGGGGCCTGGGTGCTGTTCCTGAGCTCTTTTGCTCAAGGCTAGTGCTCTACCATTTTCAGCACTTCACCACTTGCAGTTTTCTGGTGATTAATTGGCCTTTCCTGCACAGGCTGGCTTTTGAACCACAATCCTCAGATCTCAGCCTCCTGGCGCCAGGCTCAGGATGTGCTTATTGACTTCGTTTATGGGAATTAACATCATTTAAATTAACATTTAAGGGAAAAGGGGTTATGGCATTTGCAGCTTTCTTGGAATTGCTTTAATTTTATGGAAAGAGGAAATTTGATAAACGTGTAAAATGTTGGCCTGAACAATACTAAATCTGGGTAAAGTGTAGTCATTGCTTTTTTGTGCTTGGAACTTTCTCAGCAGTTTAAATGGTTTTCTTAAAAAAAAAAGGTTAAAATATTTTTAGTATATATTAACTAAAAATCCCTTATACTTTTGTCAGCTTTAAAAGAAAGGTTCATTTTGATGTTTGCCATTCAGTTGAATAGATCTTGTGTGATCCTATACTCAGCTGTGCTAGCCAAACAACCTCATTTACAAGAGCTGCCCCTTCCAAAGCTAGAAGAGTAGAAAATTCCTTTGGTCTGTGATTCACTTCAGTGAATAATCTGGCTAAAAATAAAGAAAAAGTGTGATTTCTACTTGATAAAACAGCTGTTATATAACTTGGACAAAGATCAGTGTAGAATTCTTATACCAATTCTGTACAAACAGTGCAAAATTGATGCTTCATTGTTTATTTCCCCTCTGCCCTCCCACCCCAGCCTTGGTGATGGTTGTACCCATTTTGAGCATTTCTGAGCACATGACCATAAGTAATCTTAAAAGAGAGGAGCAGAATTCTTGTCTAAGACATAAGAGGAGGGGATTAGCTGCAAAGATAGCGTAACTGTTGTGCAGTAACAGAAGCTCTCCAGGTCTTCTTGGTGGACGATGCATAGAAGTTTTAAAATTGTGGAACATCTGTTCCCCCCAACCACCCCATCCCACCCTTGACACCTAGGTCCCTACTCCCATTCTATTCCACTCCCTCCCTCCACCCCCCCCCCCCCATTAATAGTGTTAACAAAAGCTTAATCTTCCAGTTTTAAAGTGCAAATGATTTGGGTATGACTGCTGTTGCAACCGGTCTGAACAGAAAAAAATGAAGTCCTGTCTAGGCGATGTTTTCCAGAATATAAAAGATAAGTTCCATGACGACAGGGCCTTCACTGAGCTGACAGGCACCTCCATGGATCACCGGCACCAAGGCGCTGTCCAGATCATTCATGTACTGTGAAGGAAGGGGCTGGCCATTGCTCCCTGCTTGATAGCCAACCTACATCACAGAGAGAAGGGGATGATGGTTATTGAACACAGAAGATACCTCAAGGGGACTGAGAGGGAAAGGCAATGCCTTTCTTAGATATGAGCTAGACACATCATGAGCGGACACAGATTCCAACTCTTTATTTTATATTTTTATATTATTTTATTTTTATTTATTTTTGTCGGTTGTGGGGCTTGAACTCTGGGCCTGGGTACTGTCCCTGAACTCTTCAGCTCAAGGCTAGTGCTCTACCGCTTGAGCCACAACACCACTTCTGGTTTTCCGGTGGTTTATTGGAGATAAGCCTGGGCTGGCTTTGAACCGTGATCCTCAGATCTCAGTCTCCTGAGTAGCTAGGATTACAGGCGTGAGCCACCAGTGCCCAGCCACTGGATAGTTGTAAGATTTTAGGCCAGTCGCTTAACCAGCTAATGTCTTTGTTTCTTAGAGAGGTAAGGTAAATCAGAAATAATACCCTAACTTTTGGCTGTGAAAACTGAAATGAGAAAGCATTTATTCTTCACTCCATCTGGTCATCCATGCACCATTTTCTGAGTACTTGCAAGCACTAATTCACAGATAGATAACAGGGCCCTCTTCCCTCAAGAGGCTCAAAAATTCAGCAGGAGGGCTGGGAAGGTGGCTTAGTGGTAGAGTGCTTGCCTTGCATGCATAGGCCCTGGGTGATTCCTCAGCACCACATAAGCAAAAAAGAAAAAAAGCCAAAAGTGGCACTGTGGCTCAAGTGGTAGAGCACTAGCCTTGAGCTGAAGAGCTGAGGGACAGCGCCCAGGCCCAGAGTTCAGGCCCCATGACCGGACCCAAAAAAAAAAACAAAAAAACAAAATTAGCAGGAGCCAGGCACCGGTGGCTCACACCTATAATCCTAGCTACTCAAAAGACTCTGAGGATCAGGGTTCAAAGCCAGCCCAGGCAGGAAAGTCCAAGAGACTCTTATCTCCAATAAACCACTAGAAAACTGGAAGTGGCGCTGTGGCTCAAGTGGTAGAGCGCTGTGGCTCAAGTGGTAGAGCGCTAGCCTTGAGCTGAAGAGCACAGAGACAGCGCCCAAGCCCAAAGTTCAAGTCCTACAACCTGGGGGGGGGGGGGGGGGGGAATTAGCAGGAAAATGCTTGTTCTCATTGCTTTATGTGAGGAAGTTTTCTGTTGTTAGATGATCAGTACTATTTGGGATGGAAACACAATACTTCACTAGTATTATCCTGATATTGCTTCTTGCAGCCTATGGCAAGATCTTGGTAGCAAGTATTGGTGAGTAATGCAGAAATGTAGCTGGACACAGCTTGCATTCTGCCCCGATAATGGCATAGAATAATTCTGCATAGACTAAGGATTGTCCCCACTCAGACCGGAAGCAGGTTGTTGACTTAATTCTGGCCTCAGAAGTAAGCAGAAAGCCTACACTCATTTCTAATGACTCAAAGGGGTTGATTGGAAGCATCAAAGCAGAGAGCTGGTGGGACATGTCACAGATCCAAGAGTAGTATAGATTTATTAGAGTGCTAGACCACAGAAAGAGACATGGAGACCAAGAATGGGGGCTGGAGGTTGAAGAGTAGATCATATCTACAAAGAACATATAAAAACATTGAGACAGGGAGGCAAGTCTGGTAATAGGAGACTTGTAGGAAAATTACTGGGGAGACAGTTCAAATCTTGGCCATTATCTAGTATGAAAAAACTGATAGTAAGAAAAACCTTATTAGCATGGCCCAGTGGCTCACGCCTGTAATCCTAGCTACTCAGGAGGCTGAGATCTGAGGATCACGGTTCAAAGCCAGCCCAGGCAGCAAAGTCTTTGAGACTCTTATCTCCAATAAATCACTCAGAACCAGAAGTGGCACAATGGCTCAAGTGGTAGAGTGCTCGCCTTGAGCTGAAGAGTTCAGGGACAGCACACAAGCCCAGAGTTCAAGCCCCATGACCAACCCAAAAAAAAAAAAAAAGGAAAAAAACAAGAAAAACCTTATTAGGTATGGCTAGCCAACCCAAACTTGCAAAACAAGCTTAGGAACAGTGTGGTACTGGGCTAAAGGGTAGCACAGATGCCAGTCACTGGGGTGGTATGTTTTCACTCTCTTCTCTTTACCCCCAAGTAAAAAGGGAAGCAACTCCTTGGAAGAAATGTAGGTGAAGGAGCCATTGTCCAATGGTTCTGAGAGTCTGACCAAGAAACATCTGGGGAGATTACTACTAGAAGGGATATCAGAATACTACATCTGTTCAAACCAGAGGCCTGGAGATTTAAGCTTTAGGCTGAGTCAGAAAAACAGGAAATACAGGCTGCCCAATACCAGCTTCAAAGGCTGCCTACACAGACCCTTCTTACCTGATCTGAGTCTAGTGTCACACGTAATCCCAGTTTTGTCATTCCATCTTCCTTCAGAAGCTTTAGGTGGGGACAGAGAGCAAGACAAAAGGCCTTGGCCACATGCTCAGTCAGTCTGCTATGATCTGCAGGATCACTCAGGCAATTATGCTGGTCCTCATTTTCTAGGAAAAACACCTGTTCCCAAACAAAAGACACTTTTTGACTAGATGTTGGAAAAAAAAAAAAACCAAACAGATAAACTTGTTGTATGTGAGCATCCTGATTTTCTAAAATGTGCAAGATGACCTGACAGGAGCAGGACATACAAAGACCTTGGGCCAGGAAAAGAAGGGCACAAAAAGATGTGAAAACGGTCTTGTATAAAGCAGGATGACCATGAAACAATGGCCCTGGTCCCTGTGATGTCCTGGTACCAGCTATGTGCACCTGGATGAGACCTAACTCTCTTGGCCTCAGTTTATGTGTGAAATAGAAAGCCAAAAGTCACTTAAAATGGAAAGGAATCCTAGAGATCTTATCATTCTTTATTTTATAAGTGAGTATAGATGAGATGTAAAAACAGAAAGTGGGGCTGTGGCTCAAAGTAGTAGAGTGCTAGCCTTGAGCAAAAGAGCTCTTAAGTTCAATCCCCATAGCTGACCAAAAAAATAAAAAATGACTATCTTTGCTGGGCCTTGTTGGCTCACACCTGTAATCTTAGCTACTTAGGAGGCTGAGATCTGAGGATCACAGTTCAAAGCCAGCCCGGGCAGGAAAGTCCATGGGACTCTTATAAAAAATTAACCACCAGAAAACTGGAAGTAGAGATGTGGCTTTAGTGGTAGAGAGCTTGCCTTGAGCAAAAATGCTCAGGAGCAGCGCCCAGACCCAGAGTTCAAGTCCCATGACCAAGCCTGCATTCCCCCCCCCCCCAAAAAAAAAAAAAAGGAGGATGTACATATTTACTCTTAGAGCAAACTTTCTGATTTTTACAGTTCTTACAAACAGGATCCCAGCCCTGCTCCTCTTGTTCCTAGATGACCCTCTCATACTGCTTTCATTTAAGAACTTGAGTTGGGACTGGGAAGGTGGCTCAGTGGTAGAGTGCTTGCCTTGCATGCATGAGGCCCTGGGTTCGATTCCTCAGCACCACATAAGCAGAACAAGCCAGAAGTGACGCTGTGGCTCAAGTGGTAGAGTGCTAGCCTTGAGCTGAAGAGCTGAGGGACAGCGCCCAGCCCAGAGTTCAGGCCCCACGACTGACAAAAAAAAATAAGAGTTACCTATATCTGCTTTGAACTGGAACTTGCCATTATATATTTGTCCTGTAATTTCTGACAAGTTACTTAATCTCTGAGCTTTGCTTACTGAGAAATACCGATGGTTTTTTTGTAAGGACATGTTATCTGAGATGGATTTAACCGTAAGTGTAGCATGACCAATCCAGCATTCTAAAGAACACAACAAAGACTGTACATACATAGCACTTAGATACAGTCTTCTTGAATTCTAATGCAAAAACATCTCTAAAAGCTAGTTCAAGGGAAGGAAAATACTTGAGAGTACGACAGGTTGTACTTGAGATTTCTTTCCAGTAGATAAGAGTATGTAAATGAAAATTTTTTTCACAGATTTTTTTTTGGGGGTCCAGTTGTGGGGCCTGAACTCTGGACCTGGGCGCTGTCCCTCAGCTCTTCAGCTCAAGGCTAGTGCTCTACCACTTAAGCCACAGTGCCACTTCCGGCTTTTTTCTTTTTGCTTATGTGGTGCTGAGGAATCAAACCCAGGGCCTCGTGCATGCAAGGCAATCACTCTACCACTGAGCCACCTTCCCAGCCCCTCTCAAGATTTTTTTTTTTTTGTCGGTCGTGGGGCTTGAACTCTGGGCCTGGGTGCTGTCCCTCAGCTCTTCAGCTCAAGGCGAGCACTCTACCACTTGAGCTACAGGGCCACTTCCGGTTTTCTGGTGGTTTATTGGAGATAGGAGTCTCACGGTCTCTCCTGCCCGGGCTGGCTTTGAACCGCGATCCTCAGATCTCAGCCTCCTGAGTAGCTAGGATTACAGGCGTAAGCCACCAGCGCCCGGCTCTCTCAAGATTTTTTATCTGTCAGAATTAATCCAGAATGTTTCTCTCTATAGCAAAAAGTTGTGCTCAATGCACATCAAGGATGTCAACATCTATTTTCTTACCTCTGTCCATCTGATGACTTTTCCATTTGCTTTATACTCTGATCCATGGAATATCTTCACGTTTGTTATAGACTCCATAGACTTTCCATCTATAGGACTTACAACACTAAAACAGAGGAAAGGAAAAGACAGAGAACTGGTAAGTGCTGCTGCTAATCACACTGGAGGCCTTGCTGGACACATCTGTGCAGCACATCCTAGCAGAAGCCATTGTACAAAATCACTCATGACAGGGCCTATGCATGGAAACAATTCAAACACATTTCAAAAACAGGACATTCTGTCTCAGGAACTGGTTCTCTTTATAATAACAAATCACTTAATCAAGGCTGATCTTTTTCCAGGTTTCCTTCCCTCCCCCCCCTCCCCACACCTTTTGGTAGTACTAGGTAGGTACGACCACTTGAGCTACATCACAGCACACCAGCGTTCCTTCTGTCAGTCAGTGCTTATCCACTCACCCCAACTGGCTCTACACTCTGCTCCTGATGCTGTAGCATTCATCATACAATTCTTCAAAAGTCTGTGTATGTCTTACAAATGAACTTCTAAAGGGGAGGGAGTATGATACCGTCAATTCTGTGTGCTGTATTTCCAGTACTGGCCCACTGGTTGGAACACAGGAGTTTAATGAATGTTTATTAAGAACTAAGGCTAGGAATGTGGTTCAATGGCAGAGCACTAATGGTAGAGAATGTCTAAGCCTCTGGATTCAACCCCAAAACCAAAAAAGTGTTACTTGTCCAAGTACTGGTGTGAATGGATGAACCACTGTCCAGGGTCTACAAATTCCCTTCACTGCTAAGGTTCATGACCACCTGGGATAAATGAGAGACCTTATTCGACAGTAAATAAAGCAAAAAAGGGTTAGGGATGTGGCTCAAATAGTAGAAGTCAGAACCACTCATAAAAAAAAGGTGTGTGTGTGTGTGTTTACTAAAAGAGGCCTTAGTTTGTTAGAATACTTGGAAGCAAGAAGCCCAGATAAGTTGGGGCAAATTAGAAAACAAATCTAAGCTGGGCCATACCCACAATCTTTGCTACTCAGGCAGAAATCTGAGGATCATGGTTCAAAGCCAGCCTGGGTAGGAAAGTCCTACTTTTTTTTTTTTTTTGGTTCTTTGAGGGCTTGAAGTCTGGGCCTGGGCGCTGTCCCTCAGCTTTTCAGCTCAAGGCTAGTGCTCTACAACTTGATCCACAGCGTCACTTCTGTTTTTCGGAATGGTTAATTGGAGATAAAAGTCTCATGGACTTTTCCTGCCTGGGCTGGCTTTGAACCATGATCCTTGGATCTCAGCCTCCTGAGTAGCTAGGATTACAGGCATGAGCCACCGGTACCTGGCGAGATTTATCTCCAATTAACCACCAGAAAAACAAGTGGTGCTGTGGCTCAAAGTGGCACTAGCTTTGAGCTGAAGAACTCAGGGACAGTGCCCAAGCCCAGAGTTCAAGCCCCACAACCGACAAAAAAAAAACTCACAAAAATAAAAACAAAAGACCCAACAAATCTATGCATTTCAAACTGAATTACTGAGTTTAAGTGTTTTTTCTGGCTACTCTTTGTCCCATTTTCATTTTCTTCTTTTCTTCCCTCATTTCTCCTTTCCTTTCTCCCTCCTTATGTCCTTCTCTCCCTTTCCTCTGCAGTCTCCTCTTTTTAATCATTAGTCAAACATGCCTGGTATGGTGATAGAGGGGGAGGGGCGGAGGGTGGCTAGCTGCATTTACCCCTTGTTAACGTTCCTGTCGTCATCCACCCACTGAATGCGGATCTGTTCCTGGGGATCCTCGGCGTCTGCCTTGCCACAGGTGATAGTGAAGTCCTTCATCTCCCGAAGCGCCTGCCTCAAGGAATCCATGTTCTCTGCAGTGATCTGGACCATAACGCCATCTAAGAATCAGCACCAAGATAGTACACATGGAAACAATGCAGAGCCTCAAAGGACAGATGAAACAGCTATTATAAATAAAACTTCACTCTGTTCCCCAAAGCTGACAGATACAAAAAGGTTTTCTTCTCTGAGCTGAATCCTCCACCCACTGAAAGACCTATGAAAGTAAATGCCTAGGTGGGCTCTGCTTAAAACCTGTCTGTTAATTTCATTTCAGACTCCAAGAAAGATTTCTGCTGAGTTTGCTCAAAGGGGAAAATCAGCCAGGCGCCAGTGGCTCACGCTTGTTGTAATCCTAGCTACTCAGGAGGCTGAGATCTGAGGATCATGGTTCAAAGCCAGCCCAGGCAAGAAAGTCCGTGAGACTCTTAATTTCTAATTAACCACCAGAAAACCAGAAGTGGTGATATGGCTCAAGTGGGAGAGTGCTTGTCTTGAGCTGAAGAGCTGAGGGACAGTACCCAGGCCCAGAGTTCAAGCCCCACAACCACCACCACCACCACCAACAAAAAGATGGGGGGGGAATCAAACATGGTCACTTTGCTCTTCTGGCCTCACAGGACAATTTGTTTCCATTTCCTCTCTTCCATTAAGCCCCGCCTGACGTGCCCTCATCCTGCCTACCCAAGCATCATGAAGCAGGGCCAAGCTATGCTTCTCTGCACACTCAAGATTACTCATCCAGAGGAATCAGCAAGCACAATAAAATAGCTATTGGAACTTATCAAGTTTTAGGGTAATTTGAATTTTAGCATTCAGGAAACTAAGGCAGGATTAGAAGTTCAAGGCCAAGCTAAGTTATAACTAGACCCTAGCTCCAACAACAACAAAACGTGCCATGTCTAATTAAAGTGACTGTATTGTAAGCACATTTCATTATGTACTCTTAAGTGAACAGTGACTTTCATCTTCTCATCTGCATATTTGATTCCAAGGATGGATTTGAATTCACTCTATGTCTCCTCGAGTATCTTATTCTACAGCTACAAAAGGTCATCTCCTAATTTTTATGTCCTAGTTCCATGATAATTGTACTTACTCCCTTCTTTGGAAAAATAAGCACTACCATGGCTTTGTTTTTTGTCTGTTTTTGAGATGGGGCCTTGCAGAGTTGCCACACTGGTCTTGAGTGCCTGAGCTTAAGTGATCTTATCTCAGTGTTCCAAGTCACCAAGACTATAGGCATGAGCCACCATAGCTAGGTCCCATGGCAGTTTTAATGTGCTTAAGAGTGGCAAGCCAGTGAATAAATAATAGGGCCAGACATCTACAGTAGAAATGGCAATGGTTTCTCTTAATATTGCCTGCATTTTGTTGTATAATTAGGACTGAATTAGTGCAAAGGGAGTAAACAACATATACATTACCTTCCACAATGCTAGATTTGGCAAGGTATCCTGAAGAGGATTTCAGAGCTCCACTAAACACAAAGAAACTGGCACCAGTCACTAGAAACAGCAATAGAAAGAGTCTGTCAGGATAAACTTTGGGATAGAGGGATGGGAGATAGTAATTAAAAATGTCAAATAAAGGGGGCTGGGAAGGTGCTCAATGGTAGAGTGCTTGCCTAGCATGTTTGAGGTCCTGGGTTTTGATTCCTCAGCACCACATAAGCAGAAAAAGCCAGAAGTGGTGCTGTGGCTCAAGTGGTAGAGCTCTAGCCTTGAGCTGAAGAGCTGAGGGACAGCGCCCAGGCCTAGAGTTCAGGCCCCATGACTGGACCAAAAAAAAAAAAAAAAAGTCTCACAGACTTTGCTGCCTGAGCTGGCTTTGAACCATGATCCTCAGATCTCAGCCTCCTGAATAGCTAGGATTACAAGTGTGAGCCACCAGCACCTGATGAATCAAAGAATCTTACAAGCAAATCTTAATTCTTGTCCTTTTTTTTTTTTTTTTTGGTCAGTTGTGGGGCTTGAACTCTGGGCCTTGAGAGCTTCAGCTCAAGGTGAGTGCTATACCACTTGAGCCACAGTGCCATTTCCAGTTTTCTGAGTGATTTATTGGAGATAAGACTCTCACAGACCTTCCTGTCGGGGCTGGCTTTGAACCTTGATCCTCAGATCTCAGCCTCCTGAATAGCTAGGATTACAGAAGTAAGCCACGATTGCCCAGCCTTAATTCTTGTCCTTCTTGGTCTATAGCCTATTTACATAAATGAATTTTTATTGGAACATAGCCATAGTCATTCATTCACACATTATTTAAACCACTTTTTGTACTACAACAACTAAACTTCAGCAGCTGTGACAAAGACTGCGGCCTGTAAAGCCTTAAACACTTATCATTTGAGGGCTGGGAAGGTGACTCAGTGTAGAGTGCTTGCTTTGCATGCATGAGGCCCTGGGTTTGATTTTAGCACCACATAAGCAGAAAAAGCCGGAAATGGTATTATGGTTCAAATGGTACAGCTCTCTCCTTGAGCTGAAGAGCTGAGGGACAGCGTCCAGGCCCAGAGTTCAAGCCCCATGATCAAAACAAAACAGTCTCACAGACTTTCCTACCCAGGCTGGCTTTGAACCATCACCTCAGCCTCCTGAGTAGCTAGGATTATAGGCATGAGCCACCAGCACCTGGCTGAATAGAATTTATTTGTATATTTTAGATACCATTTGACTGAAAGGGAACATTATGGACTTATCTACTTTATTTTTGATATTGAAAAATATATATACTTTATATATATGTATATGTGTGTGTATATATATATACATATATATATATATATATAATGCCTCTACTAAATGACTGACTTAAAAATACATTGAGATCCTATTGCACTGGTTATCATTTCAGTATGATGCCCAATAGAAGCCATGGGAACAGACATGCCTGACTTTGTCATAACACTAGAGGTCAATATAGTTCTTCTACATTAAGTATGATGTCAGCTGTAAATAAACTGTCAGCAGGCAAATCTAAATGAAAACTTAAATTGGCTCTATCATACTAAGTTCCCTTTCTGATCTTTCCTGGTTGTGAATTTCTTAATATATTAATATTGTAATGAAGAGAAGCAAGGAGAATCAAGTAAAAATACAAACAAAAAAATACTTCAATGTATTGCTGGGCACTGATGGCTCATAATATCTGCAATCCTGGCTATTCAGAAGGCTGAGATGTGAGGTTCAAGGTTCAAAACCAGCCAGATAGGGTTGGGAAGGTGGCTCAGTGGTAGAGTGCTTGCCTTGCATGTGTGAGGCCCTGGGTTCGATTCCTCAGCACCACATAAAGAAAAAGCCAGGGCCGGGCACCAGTGGCTCACGCCTGTAATCCTAGCTACTCAGGAGGCTGAGATCTGAGGATCACGGTTCAAAGCCAGCCCGGGCAGGAAAGTCCGTGAGACTCTTATCTCCAATAAACCACTAGAAAACTGGAAGTGGCGCTGTGGCTCAAGTGGTAGAGCGCTCGCCTTGAGCTGAAGAGCGTAAGGACAGCACTCAGGCCCAGAGTTCAAACCCCACGACTGACCCCCCCCCAAAAAAAAAGAAAAGAAAAGAAAAAGCCAGAAGTGGCGCTGTAGCTCAAATGGTAGAACGCTAGCTTTGAGCTGAAGAGCTGAGGGACAGTGCCCAGGCCCAGAGTTCAGCCCCCATGACTGACCAAAAACAAAAAACAACAACAAAAAAAAACCCAGCCAAATATGAATATCTGTGAGACTTCAACTTAGCAAGCATACACACAAAAAAGCCAGAAGTGAAACTGTGTTTCAAGTGGTAGAGTGTTAACTTTGAGCAAAAATGCACTGGGACAGTGCTCAGTCTCTGAGTTCAAGCCCCAGACTGGCCCACAATAAAATTATTTCTTCAGGGCTGGGAAGGTGGCTCAGTGGTAGAGTGCTTGCCTTGCATGCATGAGGCCCTGGGTTCGATTCCTCAGTACCACATAAGCAGAAAAAGCCAGAAGTGGCGCTGTGGCTCAAGTGGTAGAGCGCTAGCCTTGAGCTGAAGAACTGAGGGACAGCGCCCAGGCCCAGAGCTCAGGTCCCATGACTGGCAAAAAACAAAAAACAAAAAAAAAATTATTTCTTCAATGTATATTCTACAAACATAAGTAAAGTAAGGGACGGGAAGGGGGTAGGTTGAAAGGCACAAGTGAGAATGTGGCAATGGGGAGACACTGATCAACATGCACTGTGTTCATCAACTACTTTGTGGAATGGCAACTCCTTTGTACAACTATTTAAAGACAATAAAATATATTTAAAATACATTAAGAATCTACTATATGTCTACAGACATACATATACACACATTCTACATGTCTATCTATAGATCTATTATTTGTCTACTAGAGATACACTGAAGCAAAACATTATTTGTGGTCAAATAAATTTGTGAAAAGATAGACACTATCCTCTTGGAAAATGAGAACAGTCATCAGCTTGTCAAAAGGTCTGAGAAGCCCTGTGGCAAAGAACTATTTAAGCTTATTTATCCAGGGCTTCTCACATTTCATTTATTAATAAAGACTCATTGTTTATGGGGACATGTTTTGAAATCATAGAACCTGAGAAAACATTCTGAGTAATGTCAGTGGAACAAGGCTTTTCAAGCTTTAATGTGCGTTTGAATCATTCAAGGATCTTACTAAAGGTTATGGTTAGCAGAACTATCTGATGAAAAGCAGATTCTTCATTTCTATTTTCTAAGTGATAAAAATACATTCAGAATAGCACCAAACCTAGATGTCTTCCTTCAGTATGGTCATCCAACAAGCTTCAAATCTACTTGAGCATATTCTTACTCAAAAGCCTAGTCTCACCTTCAACATTGGCCTATCAGTATCTTGAAACAATACTTAAAATGTTTCCCTCAGGTGACATTGATCAAGATATAATATATTCATGAACTGCTTTGGTGAATGGCAACTCCAATGTACAGCTATTTAAAAGATAACCAAAATATTCAAAAAATAAACATAAAAAGTGAAAAAATGTTTCCCTCAATAAGGGAGATTCCATTTGCAACTTTGACCATTCAAAGTAGTTAGAAGACTAGGCTTAGAAAGGTTATCAATTTATTTGTGGTCACCTATCTAAGTGTTTTGAGGCTGAGATATTAAATGCTCCCAGTCCAGAAATGACTTCCCATGTCAAAAATCTCAACCAGCTTAAATGCTTACCTTTCCTGGGCTGATTGTGAATACTGATTGCCTGGGTCTGATAGTTTCCATCGTCATTTTGTACACAAACGAGGTGAGAGTCTGCCTTTTCGTTGAAGCAGGTGCCTCCTGCCAGGACATGCTCATTGGACTTGTTCATAGCTTTCATCATCTGAAACAGAGAAGAGGGCTAACCTTACTTTGCCAAGAATGGCATTTTCTCCTATGACATGGTACAAATGTGTCTTCTCAAAGACAAAAAATAAACAGAATATGGAAAAATCAGTCACCAACTAGTAAAAGAAAATCAGCACACAAAAAGTTCCCTACATAGTTTATAACTGATTTGTACTGTAAGCTATACACATATGCTGCATTCATTTTTGTCTTTTTATTTATTTATATTTTTAAAATTTTTTTCAGTCGTGGGGCCTGAACTTGGCCTGGGCACTGTCCCTCAGCTCTTCAGTTCAAGGCTAGCACTCTACCACTTGAGCCACAGCGCCACTTCCGGATTTTCTTCTCCTTATGTGGTGCTGAGGGTCTCATGCATGCGAGGCCACTGAGCCACCTTCCCAGCCCCTTGTCTTTTTATTGCTGCATTAAAGTAACAAAATTAGTTTATCTAGTTGCAATACTCTAAATTCAGTGCTAAAAATGTCCCATATTTAAATGCATCCACCTTCTCTTTCAATATTAAGGGTTTTAAAACTTTCTTCTACTGAGGCTGGGAAGGTGGCTCAGTGGTAGAGTGCTTACCTTGCATGCATGAGGCCCTGGGTTCTATTCCTCAGTACAAGGGTTTGATCTCAGGGTTGTGAACTTGTTAAACAAGGTCATTCCACCATTTTGGCCACTGCCTCAGCCCTACTGTTGTTGTTGCTTTCTTGTTTTCCAGGTAGGGTCTTATGCTTTGGGGTGCTTTCAGGATGGCCCTCTTTGTGCATAGTTCTGCTGACGGCCTCTTGGACAGCTGCAACCACAGGTGTATAGTATACTACCATGCATGCCCATGTGACTTACTGAGTGAGATGGAAGTCTTCCTGACTTTTATCATAATTCAAGACCTTATAACACCTTTTCTAGACATAATCTTAACAATCTGGCTTTCCTACAATCCTGATTAGTTCTGATTCATTCAATATTTCCACACTTATCCAAGCACAGGTCTAATATACCACATTTTTTCTACCTTGTCTTTCACTAACAATCATAGCTTTCCTTATGCACTAATCTCATTATACCAGTTTTCCCAACTTGCCTCCCTTCTACAGTGTCCTTATATGCAGGACTACTTCTGATGCCCTATCATTTACCATGTCTGAGCTCTTGTACATCTAATTATTTAGCCTCTCTTTTCTTCTCCCAAATCCAAGCTCCTGACAAAGCTGGCCCTTAAATCACCACTGGGTAAATACACCAAATCCTGCATAAAGGTTTCTTTTTGAGCCCAATCAATCATTAACATGACCACTCTCTTCTTTTGGGGGGACAATTCTGAGATTTGAACTTAGGGCCTCACATATTCAGCTTGCTTGCATAGCCAATCCTTTTTACCAGTTGAACTACACCTCCTGCCCTATTTTTTGCTTTTTTTTTTTGAGACAAAAATCTTAGGAACTTTTCTGCCCAGGTTAGCTCTGATCCATGATTCTCTGGATCTCAGCCTCATGAATAGCTAGAATTACAGACAGGAGCCACTAACAGTGGTCATCATTCACTTCTTCGAAATGCTATTGCAAATTCTCTGTATTTTTAATATGCTATTACCTTCAATTAGCCTTGGATAAGGATTAATAGCAAGGATCTAACTACAAAGCCTACATCTGAATCTAGCTGGTAATTAACTCTGTATGCCCTTGGGCAATTTATTAACACCTCTATGTCCCAGTTTTCTCTTTTGTAAAATGGGATAAGAAAAACAACTATTTCAGGCTGGGCTTGGTGACTCATGCCTGTAATGCCAAATCAGAAAAAGATTGCTTTTTTTTGGGGGGGGGGGGGTCCGGTCGTGGAGCCTGAACTCTGGGCCTGGGTGCTATCCCTCAGCTCTTCAGCTCAAGGCTAGCACTCTACCACTTGAGCCACAGCGCCACTTCCGGCTTTTTTCTTTTTTGCTTATGTGGTGCTGAGGAATCGAACCCAGGGCCTCATGCATGCAAGGCAAGCGCTCTACCACTGAGCCACCTTCCCAGCCCTGCTTTTTCTTTTTAAGGGCAGCCCTGGACAAAAAGTTAGCAAAACCTCCATGTCAACATATAGGGTAAATGAAATCAGACAGATGTGGTAGTGTGGCCTATGGCCCAGCACAGAGTAGGCTGAGGCTGAAGTGAGAAGAAAACTTCTGAGACTCTATCTGAAAAATAACTAAAACAAAAGAAAAGGGCTAGGGTGTGGTTACAATGATGAGTAAGTGCAAAGCCCTAGGTTCAAACCCCAGTCCTGCAAGGACAAAAAGGGAGAGGTAACTATAAGAGAAGTGCTTTGGAACGGTACCAAACACATAATCACTTAAGTGTCAGTAAAATAAGATCTATGTTATTTTTACTCTGACTATTGAATGTTCAAGCAACCTTGAAACAGGAGAAAATAATATGATCATTTAAGCACCCTTAATGGCATAATGGGATTTAGAATCTTTCCCAAGAGCTTACAAATTAATGAGACTGACATACTGATAAAAGATGGACAAATAATACATGCAGACTGCAACCACTTATAGAGCTCCAATCATGACTCAAGCACTGAGCTAGCTCATCTAAGTACTTACAGGTATTTTATCCCAAAGACTGATTTTAATACAGCAACTAAAGATACACTGGAGCTCAATCCCTATCCAACCCTTGGAGTCTAAGAAAATCACAAGATCCAGTTAAAACAACATACTTTCACAAGTAAGTATGCTGGAGGAAGGGAAGAGGAAGAAGTGATAACATCATCTAATTCATATCAGAATTGACACTGTGCCCGTTTCCTCCCTGAGAGCTTAGCTAAAACATTAGAAGTGACTTACTCCTTTTGATTTGAACTGTAAAGAAGATAAGAAACGAGGTTATTTGGCCTTTGGATTTCAAGTGTTATTAGGCTTAGCCTGGGGTCTTACTTTTAACAGGTAAATATTTTTCTAGATATATTAATAATATTCTAGATATATTACCTAGTAATTATGTAAATAGTGATAGATTTGGAAGATTTTTTTATTTTTTAGTTGGTCATTGGGCTTGAACTCTGGGCCCAGACATTGTTCCTGAGCTCTTCAGCTCAAGGTGAGTGCGCTACTGCTTGAGGCCACAGTGCCACTTCTGGTTTTCTGGGGGTTAACTGAGGAGTCCCATTTCCTGCCCAAGCTGGCTTTGAACCTCAATCCTCAAATCTCAGCCTCCTGAGTAGCCAGGATTATAGGTGTGAGACACTGGCACCTGGCCTGGAGGATTTTTTTTCTTTCTTTTTTTGTGCCAATCCAGGGACTTGAACTGACGACCTGGGTGCTCTCCCTGAGCATGTTTTCTCAAGGTTAGCTCTCTACCACTTGCGCCACAGATTCACTAAGGACTTTCTGTAAGAGTCTCACAGACTTTCCTACCCAGGCTGGCTTCAAACTACATCCTTAGATCTCAGCTTCCTGAGTAGGTAGGATTACAGGTGTGAGCCTCCAGTGCCCAGCTTGGAGGGTTTTCTTATTCATGAGTTGAGCAAATGTAAAAATGAGTTTTTTAAAGAAAAATTATTGGTTCCTTTATAATGCAAGTGCCACAAAGATACGTATCTAATAAAATTGACTCAATTATATAAACATTACTAATGCAATTAAGAAGGGCTTTATGTGGAAATACCCATTACATAGGTATAAAAAGTCCTTGAAAGTGAATAATGGTACCAGTGATACAAGAAAAAATTGGACATTTCTGCTATTGAAGGGCCCACATTTCAAGGCAGGATGGGATTCATACCCATTGGCTGTAATTGTTATATGAATAAACAAAAGTAGGGTAAACAGGCAATAATAAATTTTAGAGAGGGGCTGGGAATGTGGCCTAGCGTAGAGTGCTTGCCTAGCATGCATGAAGCCCCGGGTTCGATTCCTCAGTACCACATAAACAGAAAAAGCCAGAATTGGCACTGTAGCTCTGAGTGCAAGCCCCAAGATTGGCAATAAATAAAATTTAAAAATAAATAAATAAATAAATAAATTTAAAAAATAGGGAGGCTTGCTAAATGATGCAACATTTGAATTTACTTTGAAAGCAGGTATGAGTGAGTAAACAAATAGAACTCAGAAAGAAACTCTGTGCTGAACAATGGCAAACAAGGTACAGGGATATCTGGTTTTGAATGTATTTGTAAAAGATGTACCTTCTAGTTAGCTAAATTCACTAATGTCTGTATACTAGACCCTACCATTCTAGTCCTAAGAGTCTACCTGTACCTGTTAGTCTTTATTCATTTATTTATTTATTTTGTCAATTGTGGTGCTTGAACTTGGGTCCTGGGCATTGTCCCTAAGCAATTTTGCTCAAGGCCAGTGCTCTACCACTTGAGTTACAGAGCCACTTTTGGTTTTCTGGTGGTTAATTGGAGATGACAGTCTCATGGACTTTCTTGCCTGGTCTTGCTTCAAACCGTGATCCTCAGATCTCAGCCTCCTGAGTAGTTAGGATTACAAGCATGAGCCACTGGTGCCCAGTTTATTCATTTATTTATAAAATGTTTATTGACAGGCTGTGAAGGTGGCTCAGTGGTAGAGCGCTTGCCTTGCATGCATGAAACCCTGGGTTAGATTCCTCAGCACCACATAAGCAAAAAGAAAAAAGCAGGAAGTGGCACTGTTGTTCAAGTGATAAGAGTGCTAGCCTTAAACTGAAATGCTGAGAGACAGCGCTCAGGCCCAGAGTTCAGGCAACACGACTGGACCCCCCCCAAAAAAAATGTTTACTGAGCATCAAATATGGACCAGACACTATTTTAGTGAACAGATCCTTGCCCGGTCAGGGTCTATATGCCTGCCTGTAATAGTAAGAGGAGACAAAAACAATAGCCCATTTAAGTGAAATACATAAAACTGTTATACAGGGGCTGGGAAGGTGGCTCAGTGGTAGAGTGCTTGCCTTGCATGCACGAGGCCCTGGGTTCGATTCCTCAGCACCACATAAGCAGAAAAAGCTGGAAGTGGTG